GCGAGGCGCACGGAGTCATGCCGCACGCGGCGACCGCGACAGGCCCTTGACGGTAGCATCACGCGCGCCGCGGGAAGCACTGCCAGCGCCAAGTGCCGCCAGTACTGGTAACCGGTAGGGCGTAGAGCTCGTGTCAGTGCAAGGGACTAATGCCGCCGGGAGCGTGACTCCATACTTTCGCTTGTGGCGGCGACTTGAGACGAGGGCGCACCAGCACGAGGGAAGCTGCCAGTGCCATAGTGTGCCCTGTGGCCCCTGTGTACCCCGCCAGGCTTTCCGCAGCACGTGAGCAGTGTGGTGGAAATTTGGAATGAGCCGGGTCACCGTACATCGAGCGCGTGAATTACGCACCTTGATACCTCATGAATCCGGGGATCTTGCCATTGAGCGGCACTAACCGTGAATTTGACTCTGCACCCACCCCAGGGCTGGAGAACTGCTGGCGGACAGAATACGTGGTTGCGCGGATGGTGATCGCGTCGTCTAACAGACAGAAGGTGTCAGCAAGGTCGTCAAATGGCGCAGTAGACGTATGAATAAGCAACCGACCTCGGTCGGGAATTGCGTTCTGTCGGGGCACATTGGATCAATCACTCCCGACCTTCTCGGACTGTTGTCCTGCGGACCCGGGAATAGTTAGGGGCAGTCCAAACCGGGGATGAGTTCGAGGGTGAGGAGGTGCAATGGGAGCCAGATCTATCACAAAGCCAAGCCCACAATTGGCCCCTGCCGTTCGAACGAGAGGCGGAGATATGGCGGGGCATAGTGCTCCGAGATGGAGACTCTCGCTGTGTGGCAGTGTCGTGACGGCGCAGGCCGAGGTTGAAACGGTGAAGCTTCATAATGATTGTGAGTCATCAATGAACGAAAGGCAGTGCAGCCTGAGCACACAAAGCGGCGTAGATGGGCTGCGGCACAACACAGATTCGGCAGTATGAACCAGCTAGGAGGCAGGGCTTGAGCGTGCGTAATCACGCAGGGGTTCCTGCTGCGAATGTCGCAAAGTGCATTGTATGAGCAGAGGAGGGCGCGTGGCAGTCCCGGAGGAGTCGCAGACCGTGGGAGGTTCCCCAGGCGCCGAGGCGGGGGCCGGGAACGCTGCAGATCACGGCGCGCCTGCGAGAAGCATGGATGCAATAACCACGTACATCCCCGTCCCTCTCCCCCTCGCCCACCCCCACGCAACATGCCAAATCATTCGGATGGCACGCGATCACATCCTCGAGGCTCCCAACATGCCGGCCGACCGGCCAGCGGACGCATCCGCGCCCCGAGCCAACCGTGGTGACGCATCGGGCTCGTCGTGCTCGTATACAAGCTCTCTGATTGACAGATTCGCTTGCGCCTTTCCGTAAGTGTCTTCTCGACAGCAGGAGTCCGGATACCTCAGATCATCCGGTGCCAGAACTTCCGCTTCAACAAGGACCGTGACGTGCCAGAAAACCACCGACTCAGCATCGACCACACCAACATATTCCCATCTGTGCTCCATCACTCTCCTCGCAGCAGGACGCATGTGCCTGCCCTGTACCGCTTTTGGCCTCTCATAATACTCCGCGACGCGTTCCAACCATTTCGACATTTTCAGTCACGGAAACGACGACATGCGCGGCGACCTGGCTCGGCGGCGACATCCGGACAGGGGTTCCCTGCCGAACCATTCACAATGCAAATTGCCCAGTCTCGCTCCTTGTAGCACTCCGAGCTGCGCCCCACAATTTGCCCAAGATGCCCAACGTTCACGAAACGCGATGCACAACTCCCACAAATGACAACGACTGTTGTGCGTCCCAACTCTCCTCCCCTACGAGAGCGTGCTGCGATCCGTAACGAGGCGCTTGCGTTCTCGTTGGCGCAACCACGCGGTTTCATACAGGACCAGCCTGGTTTCCGCAGCTGCGACGACAAACATTCACTCGGGCAATACACGTCCGTAAGCGCTCATGATGGGTTAGGGTTCCATGTGCGTTCGCTCAAGCGGCTTTCCTTCCCTGACAGACCCAAACAACGCGATCCACGCTATATCCCGATCACGAGAAAGCTGCCCTCACATTCCCATTTGTCCATCTAACAAGTTCTTCCCATCAAGCTCATGCCAGATCGCAGCACCCGATCCTCCACGAACGGCCGTCCGGGCGAATTTGAGGCGGGTCTGCTGCGCTGTCTCACGAAAACAAGCTGTGCCAGCTACCACTCTATTTATCCAACCACCAATGTCGCCCTCCCTCCAAACCCTCCGCCGCCCTCTCGAATTCAGCCACTCGCACGGCTTACCGCATTGTACTTATTCGCGTACACACCTACAGCAACCCCATCTCCCCGACAATGCCCTCCGACCACCCCTCTTATCCCCACCAGCGAGGGTACCCCCCCGGGTCCCACAGTGGCCAGCAGTCCGCCAACAACGCCGATGTGGCCGCATGGCTCGACACATCACTTTCTGGACAAGAACAGGGTCTTGACCCGCGCTACTACTCTCATGGCACTCAACAGTACCTCGCTGGCGGCTATCCGGGTGCCGGAGGTTATCCACCGGGGTCATATGCGCCGGGAACCTTCCCTCCCACCGCTTATCCTCCCGCGATGCAGCACTCTGCCTCGTACTCTCCCGGCCAGTATCCATCTGGTCATCCCTCCGGCTATCAGCCTTCTTTTCAGCAAGGCTCTTCGACATTGTCGAGCGTGGCCGCCCCGGTCTACGCGTATCCTCAGCACCCACACTCGAGTGCGCACTTGACTCATGGTGTACACCAACAACACCCCTACCAGCAGATGCAACCGCATCTTCAGCACCCCGGACAGCAGCCGTACCCTTCCCAGTATGGCACCGACTACGACCCTTCCTTCTTCGTGGACGACTTCGATGGCGCAAGCGTGAGCGACAGCGAACCCGGGGGCAGCTCGAGGAGCAAACCCAAGACTGCCCTTGATCCCAGCCAGCCTCTGACCGTCGACGGGAAGCCCCGCGAGCGAGTCTACGTGGCCTGTAACCGATGGTGAGCCATTTATTCCGTTCAGGAACCCGCTTCATCTCGTGTGGCCATCGCCGCGCTCCTCTCGATCTTCTCTTCTCGTTTCCGCTTGTCTCTTACCGGCGGTGCACCGGTCGGCCTCCGGCTTACTCATATCCATCTTGCACCCGCTGACTTATGCGCCTCCCTTCCAGCCGTGTCCGCAAGCTCCGCTGCGACGGCGCAAAGCCCGCGTGTCTCAACTGCCAACGCGTGGAGGGCGAGGTCTGCGTCTACCCCGACCAACCCAAGCGGCGCGGCCAGGACAAGGCACAGCGCACGCGCTCTGCCGTCGGGACGCGCAAGCCCCGCCGTCCTGCGACGCGCAAGGACTCGAAGGACTCAGCGGGGAGCGTTAGCCCTGGCGCAGGGCTCAGCTCTGGCGGGCAGTGGGCCCCGTACTAGGCCCCTCCGATATTCTCCTGTGCGCACACATACTTGCCAAGATGTCTCATTGCAGGCGACACCGCCGCCACCCAGCACCGCTTCCCCGCAACAACCCACGGCGGACCGCTCGGCCCATGATGACTACAAAACATGAATATCACGACGACAGCCATGACAGCCGCGTCCCTCAATTTGGGAGATGTCGATAGCGGTGCCGCTACGCTCGCCACCACGTCTACGACCCCAGCCATTCTACGACTACGACCTCATTCTGTCAGGTGCATGCCACCCCAACCCCGCCTTTTTCTCCAACTTCTATCCTCCCTCTCCCACCATCGGGCGCCTTTGACAACGCATTAGTCAATCCACCTACAGCGTCTCCTCCTCGGACCGAACCTGTGACGCGCACGTATCCGCATGTGGATGTGTCACCTCCGTCTTTGCCGTCACCGCCCGGTAGTGACGGTCAAGCGCGACATGACAACCTGCGCAGTGCGCTTCAGCATTCGGTCCGAGGCCAACGAACTCTGTCCTGGTTGATTGCCCCTGTCATGTCCACCGGAAGCGCGCCTCTCAAACGCGCGCCCTTCTCCCGGGCAACCTACTCCGCCCTCGTCGTTCACTGGGGCCGTCGGAGGTCTCCACCTCGCTCCGCCGCACGCTCAACCTCCGCTCGGCCCTGCGCTGACCCTGCTCTCGCTCCACTCGAAAGTCCCCACCCGACCCCGCGCGTTTTGATTTTGGTTGTTGACCAGTCCGTGCCCTACAGCCTGCCTCCATCACTACTTCTTATTTCTGTTTCTCTCGTGTTATGTTACACCACCTATCATCGCGCTCTCCCCGTGTCCGTTCCGCTTTCCGTGCTTTGCATGTATCTGCATCTCTCCGCCTATTTACGTACCTACTTACCTGCGGTGCGCGGTTCCGGCTCCCGGATCTGTCTCGTGTGCTGTGTCTCTTCCCCCCGGTATACTCACGCTTTCACTCTCTCCCACCATCCTCTACGTCTACGTCTCCTCTGCTGCCCGCGTTCTCACATCCGTAGCACCTCGCACCGCCCCGGCCTCCGCCTCGCGGCCTCCGCCTCGCGCGCGCGCGCTGGGCTTGGCCTAGGCCATCCAGGGCGCGGTGCGCGTCGCAACTTTCTGCCCCTTTTAGGCTCTACGTTCCGCGTTATAGCGTCCGTCTCGGTTCTCGCCTCTTTCTGCACGGACAGCTGCGCAGATTGACTCATAGATGGCCGCATAGACATAGACGCGCCGAAATCGGTTCATCGTGTTCATTAATTTGTATGATATACATCCCGCAGCCTCCGGGTTCCCGCAACACCAACAACAGAAAGAGAGAAAGGCACAGCGAAAGCGAAGCCGCTCCGGACACCGCAGTGTCCTGTTGTCCGTATATCCATCCATATCCGTACCCACATCCGAGCCCACACCCGGGCCAGCCATTATGCACCAAGCTCCAGCCCAGAGTCCCCGCCCAAGCCCGGGCCCGCGACGGCGGGCCGCACAGGCCTGCTCCAGCGCGGCGCGCCCGCTTCCGGGGGGTGCACCGCGTCCCGGCGCGCGTGCGCGTTTATTGCATCCGCCTCGGCCGTGTTCACGCCGACTCGACGCGATCGCAGAGCGTGCTCGCGTGGCGGGACGAGTCCCCGGACGACCCGTGGCGGTCCACGGGGACCTCCGCGACCTCCATCGCGGCGACGTCCTGGTGGGAGGCCGGGCGAGCAGGCGAATAGGTGGTCGGCGGCCGGCGGGACCCGCGGGACGTCAGGGCGGGACGTCATCGCGAACGCATACGGGAGAAGGAGACGGGAAGAAGGCGGTCAGCGTGGGGTTGGGAAGGATCTGCGAGCGCGCGCGCGCAGAGGGCGAGGAGACTCACCCGAGTCGACGCGCGCGCGCCGACGAGGTGCGCGGGATGGTGGTCCTGGGCGGCCGCGAGGTCCGCCTTCTCGGGCTCTCCGTGCCTCCCGTTCAGCGACGAGAGCTCGAACGTGTCCGGGGAGGCGAACTGGATGTTGTACGTCGGGAGCTGGCCGCCGGCCGAGCGCGAGACGGTCGGGTCGCGGATGCGCTTGGACACGTCCTGCCGCGAGTTCAGCCTGCCGGTGCGCGCGGGCGGAGGGTCAGCGGGTGCGATGGGGGGAAGAATCAGGGTGGATGTGGACGCACGAGACGAGGAGCGAGAGGAAGTACACTGCCGCGTGCGCAGGAGGTCGGGTCAGCGCGTCGTCATGCGTCCGGATATCTGATTCGAGGGACTCACGAGGGCCCATTTGGAGCCAGAAGAAGACATGCACGTCGAGCTGTGGCGCGAGCTTCAACTGGAGCCCGGTCTGTCAGCGCCTGGGAGATCGACAGCGCAGGAAGATGCGCGTACCGCGATAATTGCGGCCGTGTCGCACAGGCTGCATGCGACATCAGCGATGTGCGCGAAGGAGCCATTGCTGCCGTACGCACAGGGGTGTCATTGCTGGCAGCGCAGTGTGATCAGCCTCCAAGTCGAACCGGGCGCGCTGATTGGGAACGTACCAGATTCGATGGTGTACACGATCAGGATGGTGATTGCGGAATCCGTGCTGCGAATTTTGATTGGTGGGCTCAGCGAGGTTCTGGGTCCGAGACGTTCATCCGCCATACCTCTTGATCCCAGTGCGGGATGAGTGAAGCCAAGCGCACAGCATACCGGCGAACAGGAGGTCCGCGACGAATCCGTTTGCGAAAGAAGTATAAGACAGCGTCTGTTCGCGGAGTATTGTTAACACCCCATCCCGGAATGCACGAGAACGCGGGGACAGACCACGTTCAATGCTATATCCGTGGGATTCACACTATAGACGGTCTCAGTGATTGGCACTTTGGCGACACCGAGGGATCACATACTGAGAGCTAATCATGCTCGCTGCGAGGTGGCTATCAGTCCTTAAAGCAACCCATGCCACGATAATATTACATGCGTACCGATGTTAACAACTGCATATCGCATCCATGTGAGCCGGGATCTCGTTGTGTGGCGGGTCGCGATTACTCACAATAAGCGGCCAGGGTAGTAAGGAGCTGAAGGACCCAGGAGTGTCAGTCAACTGTCGAACCGGTGCATTACGGGATGCTCACCGAGAGGAAAAGACCTAATAAAGACACGATGCGCTTGGGGCCGGCTCGGAAGGTCTGACAGACTGTCGCAAAGGAAGGTGAACACTACAATCGCCTGAGATGTAAACCGCGGCAGCTTACACTTCCAAAGCCTGCGCAACAAGAGGCTGGAGAAGGTGAGTCAGCGAAAGGAGGCGAGGTACAGGCAGCTTACAATCGTATGATGATGATAGCAGTGGTGTTGAAGATCGGCGAGAGCTGATGGCCGGTCCGAGTTCGTAAATGAGGTCATAAGCTAAGCCAGGGTCACTTACGTTGATATCCCTGAAACACAACCATGAGCGACGCTTTATTCTGACAGATAAGATGACTGACCAAGGGGTGGTGAGGCCAAGGTCGTTAAAGTTGTGTTGAACCTGGTTGTACGACACGTGAAGGAGGATGGGCAAGTTAATGGAGAGCAGTGCAGTACAAAGGAGGATCTGGGGGCGACACCAGTTCAGCTGGAACTCGGTATGCTCGACTGAAACAACGCTCACTAAAAACTTGAGCCACGGACGATCCGTGGAGGGGGCTTCCTTCCAGTACAGCCTCACAGAAAAGAGCACGCAACCATACAGTCTATTGGGTGGATCGTCAGAAATGTTGCTGACCACGCGCACATGGGCCAATTACTCACATTCCATGGAGCAGGATGCCTACGAGGGCCGATATCACCCTCGCTCTCAGAGCGGCGTCGTCGCCTTCACGCGGAACGAGGAGAACCTCGTGGGTATCGGGGAAACTGGGTACGTGAGTCGCGTACATGACGAGCCAAGCGGCGAACGCGTGTATGGCGAGATAGGGGGTGAGGTATAAACAGTCGCGGGGATCAGGGGACGGAAGAGGGAGAAAGGACCACGGCAGCGTCCGTCGTCACTCATGTGCGGTATATGTACCGGTCAAGCACTCGCTTTCGGCAGTGGTACCCTGCGAAGTCGACTCTGGGGTAGTAGGCCTCCGAGACTCGACTCACGTACTACCCAGGCCGCCGCTGACATGCCTGCTATGATCTGCACAGGCAAAAGAGTGGAAGAGTGTGGCGCGCGCCTCAGGCCTCACTTCCGGACAGCAGCCACGGAAATGGACCTGGGCGCAGGCGAGGCGGAGGGGGTCGAGGAGGAGAGGAAACCGTTCTGCTGAGGGCGCTCCGGCGCCGGGACTTCCTAATGGGGCGCCCATCAGACCGAAACCCCCGCTCAGAGGCGCCCCTCGTGCTCCAAGGGCGATCGGCGATCGGCGAGATGTAGCGACTCCGGAGCAAGGGACTCGTGAGTCGTTGAAGTCAAGTGGGTCGCACTCCACGAGGTCTTGGACTGCGCTGAAACTTTATGATCGTATAGGATCGGCGCCCACATGGCTGGGCGGGGAGGAGGAGGAGGAAGAGGAGGAGGAGGAGGAGGAGGAGGAGACGGGTGATTGTGAGCGCGAATTTCGGACGCCCATAGAGAACTCGATCGTGCGCCCGACGCGAGGCTCAGTCTCTCAAGTGCGCGACGGGACTGGAGTATCCACAGCCATTGTCACAGAATATTGCACAGGACAAGAACGGGCGGGGATGTTAATGACGCCCAAAAGTTCCCATCCAAAGTTCCGAGTTCACTTCAAGTTCACTTACTGGAGCCTGAGAATCGCAGGGCTACTGTGCTGATGCAAGTCCTCGAAAGCCAGCAAAATCGCGCTGGTTTCACTCTGACAGTAGCCATGGTTGCCGACGTCGGACGAACTGCCACCTCGGTAACGCAGTGAAATGCTACGAGATGCTGCAAGCAGAAATATTACAACAGCGCTGTACAAGCGGGAGATCGGCTTAAACTCAAATCGTACCCCTCGGGAAGATGCTTGACGCGACCGCCGCGCCTCGGAGATTACGATTACATCTTTTCGACAACGGCCTCATTGTATTCCCACCTCCTCTCCCTCTTCGACTTCGAGATATCGGACCACATGCTCTCACACTTCCTCGGGGCGGGGGTAGTACACCGGGATCAGCGGCTGAGCATCGCGCCCCAACGGTTCCTGGAGGTGGAAGTTGGGGTGGTCTGACGGTAGCCCAGAGGGAGAGACGATCGAAGGTAAAATCGATCAGTTTGAGAGGGCTCATCATTGAGGCCTGTGGTCAATGGGGAAAGCAGGAATGAAAACGGGCCGCGGTTGACCCCGTCGCTGACGTAGGAGGACAATCTGGAAATACCTGGACAGGACTGGGGGACCACCGTCGTCGCCGAACTGACAGGCATTCGAAGCCAGGATGCGGAGCATAGTGGTCTGGAAAAGGGAAGGGAAACCCCACTCGTCAAGCGACCAAAGCGAGGATTGGGTAGTGGGCACTCACCGCCGTCCGCCGCCCCCAAGCAAGCGGTGACCGTCGCAGGACGGGCACATTCGCGGGCGAACCTGGGTCCAAGTCGATCGATGCGCGACCTGCGGCGCGTGTGCGCCTTGCAGAGTTCGTGCGAGTACGCGAGGCTGTCGTCGCGCTCATGTCCAAGCGAGCCTTGGAAAGCAAGCTCAATATTGTACACCCTCAAGGTCGTGCTGGGGTAGACTAGGTCATGCATGCGCTCTGAGCCGACGCTGCGAGAGTGTGCCAGAGGTTAGGAGGCTGCAAGTGGGAGAGGGACGTGATGAGGTGTGACGCATGCGCAGACGAGGGGGATGAGGTAGAGCGTGCCGAGAAAAGATGACGTGGGTGTTGGAGGCCCTGTAAATGTCGAATTGGGGTATGGAGGTGGTGAGATATATGCATAGGGCGCTCACAGAGACTCCTAACCCGAAACTGTCAAAAACGAGGACTTACGTAGCCGGCAAGGCTGTGGTGGGAAGTAGCTCGATATTCACCGCAACTACCGACACAAAGGGGTCTCTACACCGTGCTGAGCGACGTGCGCCAGGTGGAAATACGGTACTCACCACGAATGCAAGGGATAGCACGACGAAATGAATCTACGATCCTATCCGTACTTGAGGATTTGCGTGAAGGCTACCAGGGTAGAGACTCGGTATTGGGGAATATATTCAAGTTTGCACAGGAAGCAGGGAATTCCATACATCTCTATGATCGTTGATCGAACCTTCTAACAAGAAGATATAAGCTATTTACTCACAAAAACGACAGCCTTACATACATCTGGACTAACAGAGCGACCGCCGCGTTCGGGACGGGGGTGACTTGCAGGTCCCGGCTCGTGGACATAAGGATATACCGACTGGGACACTGATCGCCGACGAGAAAATACACGTGCCAAGGTGGCTTAACGCCCTTCGACGGACATCAAGAAGCAGGTCTTGTGTTGGTCTCGTACCCAGCCGCTCTGTACCGCACCCCACCACCGCCTACACGAGCCGGTGGTGGGGTGCGGTACAGAGCGGCTGGGGACGAGACCAGTCTTGTGTACAATGGTAGGGAGAATGGGTGACAGGAGCAGCGTTGCGCTCGAGGGAACACGCATTCTCTCTCAAGCACTCACCAGAGTTCAATGCTCTCCTTCTCGCCCAGAGGACACTGGCAAACGCACCATCACCCGGTGCAGGCTCAAGCTATCCGTCCTCCAGAATGTCGGGAAGTAGCTGCGCATGAGTCATGATGCACAGCGCCCCGAAGAACCTGTTCTACCATCTGTGCGCCTTGAAGAACCTGCGCCATTATTTGTCAACGCCACCTCGAAGATATTGGAACTTGGGCGCGCTCACAGAAGGAGGATGGGGGTGAGGAAGGCGGTGACGAAAATCTTGAAGACGGGCCAGTGGGGGTGCGAGCGCCATGGTCGTCTGTCTCAGATCCGGACTCCAGAAGGACCGCGTGCCAACGGGTTGTCGGGATGACAGCGATGTGGGGAGAAAGGAAGGTGCTGCAGTCAAAGGCAGACTGGAATAAGGAGGGAACAAGCGGAAGTAAGAAGGTGGCTGAGAAGGACAAAAGGCGCGATGATCATAGGATAATAAGGATGCATTTAGTATATTCTACGCCCACGAAAGTTCATGTGGTCGATCGCCGACGCTGAGACAGGGGTACACGCGACCCCACCCTGGACAGCATTATTAAGTAGCGCGAGCAAAGAGCACTCACTTTTGTATTTTGCGATTAAAGCTGTGAAACGACTCATGCTCGTGTCTAGCGTATACTATGCAGGTCCTGAGCCACGTCGACCGCGGTTTGGTCACGGTGCGCGGCGATGACTGGGCACTGGGCTCGTAACGATTAAGCTGCACTTCGAGAAAGGCTGAAAGAGCTGCCTTTAACTGTAGAGGAGGGTACGACTGGCGACAAAATGAGAAAGTCTCGGTTTTGCCAGTCTTCAATGGTGGAAGGAGTTTGAGGTGAGCAGTGAAAATGCGTAGAGCTGGAGGGCCTAGTCGGGCGCTCCGGTGCAACTATTGCTGATGTAATCAACTCTGACTGAATATAGACATAGAGATGAGTATATGTGCCGGTATGGATCCATGCTTGTTTTCTCCAAGACCGCGTGCGAACCCTGAAGCTTAGTGAAGTAAGTGATCAGAACAACGGAGGACGTGCAGTCGACAAGGTGGCCATAATGACAGCTCGCAGTATGTAGTAGTAAGATTATAAGCACGGTCACCAGGTTAGACTAGATGATTCTAAGAAGGCCGCAGCAGGCCCGGCGGTCTACAGCCGACCCTCGTGCTTCCCGAGCGAACGCGGTATCCGCTGCGGAGAGTCCGAGAGAGTGGTACCCTTCCATCACGAAGACTACGAAGGAACGAGCCCGACGATCGGATTAACCCCGTCGACTGCTATGATCTATCCTCAACCATCTTCGTCCTGGGGACACCCTTTCGTACGTTTTGGGTGTGCCTCGCTGATACAACGAGCCATGCTCTGCGGCCGCAGTCATGGCTATCCTCTCGTGGTGTGCGCACGGCGAGCGCGAGGACAGACGGTTGTGTCATAAGGAGGGTGCTGAGTGCGCTGCGGAGCTATTTTAAACAACACAAGGTTCGAAGGAAGAATCGAAGTAGGACAAGACAGAGTGGATAGCGACGTCCTGCAGCGTGTCACTTAAGGGTAATCACGACGACGTACCAAAGGCGTGCCAGGTTAGACAAGGCGTCTGAATGTAACTGCCGAGAGTAGCTTGATTACTTGGCGGATCATATGCAAACAGTCCCGTGTTGAAGCGCGGCAAATGTGAGTTTCAATGGGCAGAAGGAGGCGGCATACATCACAAACCCAAGTAAGGCCGAGCCGCCCCACCGCCATGCCAAGCGAGGCAGCCTGACGGGGGCGCGTCAGCGCGGCGTGCATCTAGGTGTTATTGTGCGCATCCTGTCGGTGACCAGCGGGCTCGGACAGGCGTCTTGCAGGCGTTTTGAATACCTAAAACACGCGCGGGGTCAACGAGGCCGCGCTGAGCGCGGTGGGCGGATTTGCGATGCGGTGCAATCGAAAGGGGAACGCGGCTGACAACGATAGGCAAGGCATGGTTCACGGTGACGGGAGGGCTTGAAGCAGCGTCGCGCAAACAGTGGGTGGCCAGCGGATGAAAGCGTTGAGGCGGAGCTGGGCCCTCGGGCGGGGGTCCCGGGCATGTCGAGGCCGACCTGCAGCCATCAGGAGGGTGGCCAATGGGAGGCGGCCTTGGCTGGGCGCCTGTGAAGGGGACGGTGGTCGCCATCGAGGCCATAAAGTTATCCCTCTCCTCCTCCCGCCATCGTCCCCCTTGTGCTGGACCGGCGTCGCGCTCTCGCTCGTTCCTCCGGCTGCGTTCTGCTTCTCCATCACCCCTCCTTTCCTCGCACTCCCGCGCAGCACCACCGGCCAAGCATTACTCAACCCGCTTATATCCCTTGGCTGCGCTGTGCGCAGTTCCGCTATTTCTTCAGCTCCAGACGCGCTTTTGAGCCATCCTTCCCCGCGCCCCTCTTCCTTCCTCACCTTCTCTCCCCCTCCCGCCATGCACCTTCTCCCTCACTCTCTCGCTCTCTCCTGTCTGCTTTCGATCGCGACCCAGCAAGCGGTTGCTGCGCCAAGCGCTCCTGCAACACGACGCGCAGCAGCACCCCAGACCATCCCTCTCGTTCGCCGTTCCCGCTCCTCCCACAACAGCACCGAGTGGCTCCTTTCCCAGAAGCATGGCATTGAGTCCAAGTACACCTCCTCTGGCCAGTCGCGTAAGCGCGCCAACGGCTTGAACCTGTGCGTTCTTTTTGTTCGTCCCTGCCCAGTCCCATCTCTGAAACCGTCCCCGCCCACGCAGCCTCACGAACCAGAACGCGGACTCCAGCTACTACGGCTCGATAGCGGTGGGTACGCCCGCCATCTCGTACAATGTCATTCTCGACACGGGCTCCGCGTACGCCTTTCTCACTCCCCCATGTTTGCCAAGCCCTGACCTCGCACGCCGCTCGCAGGGACCTCTGGCTCGCCGCGTCGAGCTCCGGGCTGTCGTCAAACTCCCTCAGCGGCATTTCGATGTTCAACTCCTCTGGTACGTCCCGCTCCCAGCTCTCCTGGCCCCCCTCCCTCCACAGAGCTCCCATTCGCTATGAGCGCTTCCCATCATGCCCCTTGCCGTACGCCGCAAGTTCTGACACCTATGACGTCAACCCGCAGCCTCCTCCTCTTTCAAGGACCTCGAGACAAACTTCTCAATCAGCTACGGCTCCGGCTCTGCACGGGGGACGCTGGGTCAGGATGTTGTTCAGTTCGCGGGTTTCGAGGTCCAGAAACAGACGTTTGGTGAGTCCTGCTGCGGGCCAGTGGTGGCGTTGTATTGACCTTCCTCCGCAGGCGTCGTCACACAGGTTTCCGACAACCTGCTGACCTCGCCAGTTTCCGGTCTCATGGGTCTCGGCTTCTCGACGATAGCCTCATCGGGAGCCACGCCTTTCTGGGAGGCTCTCGCAAATGCCGATCGGACTCTGGACTCCCCTTTGATGGCGTTCCAGCTTACTCGGTTCATTGATGTTGCCAAAGCCCAGACCTTGGAACCTGGAGGCACCTTCAACCTTGGTGCCGTGAACAGTTCGTTGTTCACCGGCGACATTGACTACCAGAGTATCCCAAGTGGCGAGGAGGGTTACTGGATCCAAGAGCTTGCCGGTAAGGCACCATTGCTGCGGCGCAGCTGATCTGGAACCTCGCGGCTGATGGAAGATCCACACGCAGGTCTCGCGGTCAACGGCGAGTCTGTGAGCCTCCCTTCCGGCTCCAGCTCGTATGCGGCCATCGACACTGGCACCACGCTCGTCGGCGGTCCAGACCAGTACATCTCCGCCCTCTACGCTCAGATCCCCGGTAGCCAAGCCTTGACTGGCGAAAACGCTGGCTACTACACATACCGTAAGTGCTTTGTAGTAGCGCATGCGAACACTATGTTTCTCACATTCCCCACTCGTCAACAGCATGCAGCACCAACGTGAACGTCACGATGCGTTTTGGCTCGTCGTCCATCTCCTGGCCGATCTCCAACGCGGACTTCCTGCTCACGCAGGCCTCCGCCACACTCTGCGTCGGCGCCTTCTTCTCGCTCGACACCTCCGGCACCTCCGCGCCTCCATGGATCATCGGCGACACCTTCCTCAAGAACGTCTACACCGTCTTCCGCTCCTCGCCCGCCTCCGTCGGCTTCGCCACCCTCTCCAGCACCGCGACCGCGATGAACGGCGCGCTCGGCTCCGCGCCGAGCGCGACCATCGGCAGCGTCGTTGCGAGTGTCACGGGCACTCCGACGACCGACCGCTCGTCGACCACGAGCAACCCCGCGCGCCGCTTGACCGCCAGCGTGGGGGTCGTCGCGCTCGCAGTTAGCGCGCTCGGGTCCCTGTTCGCGCTCTGATCAACGTGCCCGTGATCGCGGGTTCTACGAGACGACATTCACGACTTGAGCCTGGAAAGCGCGTTACACGGCTCGGTTGACGTGGGCGGCGCCGGGATATCCCATCTTTCGCGACGCGATATGGACGCTGTAAAATAGATCGATAAACACTCACGGAGTGGTGTTCTCCGGCGGTGGCGTGGTTGCCTGCCGATGCTGGCGGAGGCAACGGGGTGGGGCGGCAGTTGGAACCCTTCACTTGGTCGCGCGGCGACCACTCTCGGCACGATACGAGACGATTGTCCATAATCCTATTGGTCCTTGCATTTACAGAGGCGTAGTGGGGGCTGCGCACGGATGATCTATTATTGGCGTAGTAATCGCTTTATGACATTGCTAATCGACGTTTGTTTGACGCGTCCTGTGTCTGCGTGTGGGCGGATCCTGAATGGCATGCATGCACCTTGCATGAAGGAAGCGGAGCGTGACGTCTTCGGATGCAAACAAAACGACCAAAGGTCGAAAAAGTTTACAGGAAAGTGCAAAGCTCTCTGTCGGGGAGTCGAACCCCGCTTTCGCGCGGCCAATGCTTATGCATGACAGGCGCGTGTACTAACCGATATACTAACAGAGACACTCTAATGTGTGGAGGCAGCAAAACTAAAGCCACAGGCGTGTGATTCGCGAGCCAGACCCGTGGGCTTGATTATGACATCATCACACAAGCGCCGATCTCGAGTCGCGCTGTGGACTTCAGCTTCGACCTATCACCAATCTTGCGCCCTTCTTGTATCTCTGCTCAATGGTATGTGCGGAAGTATGGCGCTGAGGTAGTGTTGAGGAGGAGACGATGGCAAATGCAGGCGGCAGTATGCAAGTCCTCGACTCCCATCGATGCGCGGAACGAGGTCAGAGAGAGGCACAGGAATGGGCCCGGATATTGGGCTCGAGAGGCGAGAACGTGTGGCTGTAGGTGAGTTGCAAGCTGAGGGGTAACATTGAGTCGCATGCCTAAGCTGTCTTGCTGCCCCTTGTCATCTTATCACCTCAAGCACTTCGCCCATATTGCCCTATGGAGGTGACCTGTGGGTCAAATTGGTTGACCCAAGCATCCTCTAGTTCGGTGCCGGTTCGCTTCATCCAAAGGTGAGTGCTTGCTATCAGCTCCCCAGGACACTCCCCAGAAGCCAAGCACCAGATGGTACTTACTGCGAACCAGACCATCATGGGCAGCCTCAGACGGCATGCTGTCTGCGCGTGGAGAGCGTCCAAAACAGAAGTGGTCCCATTCCCTCCGGGTGCACGGGAGACACATCCGGTGGTGGGATGCATCCGGTGGCGCAACGAAGGTTCACCTCCACGCATCGGCGCTGCGCTAAAGTTCTCGCTAGGCGGCATCCCCTCCCACCTTTATGTCGCCTAAAGCTACCTGTGTACGGATATCCGCTCCTGAAAAGCCCTCCAGTCATCGTTGGCCTACTCCCACAGTGGACGCATCCTTCACTACTCTTTCCTAAATTACACGCAAAAGGTACAGCCTTCATCCAGCGCGCGGGCGCGGTACTGTAAAACTCTAACGTTGAATCTGAGTAGGTCTCTGAGCCTAGTGCTGCCAGCACTTCCGACATCACGGATGTCCCTAGCTGGTTGAAACTCGCCACGAAGCTGCGCACATGCTCGTCGGCGGCCGGTGGACCACCTCATGCGCCATGCATACTCCCCGTCGCCGAGGCAGATGTGGTCAGACATGCTGAGTGAAGGCCTCCTTGCGCAAGCGCATGATCAGGTATAAATTTGTGAGTACGCACTGGAAAATGCATAGATCTGTTCATGATGCGTTCCTACGCGTTTTTCCTCTTACAAGCTGCCTTGGTCTGGACGGCCCCGACGATCCAGCTTGACAACGCGACGGTCGTGGGCGTCTCGGATGGGACCACGAGTTCCTTCTATGGCTTACCGTACGCCAAGCCTCCGTGAGTTCAGAACTATTGAAGATTCGCTTTTCATGCTGACATGCGCTCATAGGGTGGGTGACCTGCGGTTACGCGTTCCCGAGCCAATAGACCCGTACACTGGCACGATCAACGCGACAGCATTCGGCGACCTCTGCTTCAACTTCGACAACGAGACTGGAACGCCGCCGCCATGGGTGACGCCTCAAGAGGGCGCCTACCTGCACACGCTGGACGCAATCCCAGTAACATCTACCTTCAGCGAGGACTGTATGCGCTTTCGTCCCCCCGACCGCTTGCCAACACTTACGTTGCGCTCCGTCAAGGCTTGAATCTGAACGTGATTGTTCCGGCCAACGCGGACCGGGGAGACGCGTTTCCCGTAGTGGCGGTACGCTTGTACATTTGTGATTTGAGCACGACGCTGATGTATCGTCACAGTACATATTCCTGGGTAAGCCGACGTTCGTGTGATTGTCATCAGCACCTAATATCCGCATACAGGGGCTTTTGCGTTTGGAGGCAGTTCAGCGTAAGTTCACGATCATTTGCTCTCATCGGCTGTCCGCTCATGTGTCAACCAACAGCGTCGACGGGCGCATCATAGTCAACCGCTCTGTGGCACTCGGGACGCCTGTGATATTTGTGTCCATGAACTATCGGTGAGACCGCACCCGCAGTTGAAACTGCCCACGCTAACCCGCGGAATGTGGTCGTTGCAGCCTAGGACGTAAGTTGGACATTTCATCACCGCCGGAGATGCGCTCACACTTGGCGGTCAGCGTACGGCTTCCTGCCGGGGACCCAAGTCAAAGATGCGCAGGCTGGAAACCTGGGGATGCAGGATCGTAGGTTGCCGTGACCTCCCGTGGGACGCACACGCTCACTTATCCCTTTCACAGAACGCGAAGCGCTGCGCTGGATCCAGCGGTACATATCCGCCTTCGGCGGAGATCCCAGCAGAGTTACTCTGTGAGCGTCTCGACGACTTGATCACGTCCGTCTGCTGATGGGCAGCGTCGATCAGATTGGGCCTCAGCTCCGGCGGCGTTTCGTCCGCGATGCACGCCATCGTCAACAACGGTGACACCGAAGGCCTCTTCCACGGGATATGGGCGGAGTCGGGCGCCATCCAGCCGGTGGGCCCAATCGACCTTGCGCCTGCGCAGGCGACGTACGACCGCTTCGCAGCCGCGCTCAACTGCACCAACGCGGTAGACAGCCTGGAGTGTATACGTCATGTTCCTACCGACGCGTTAAATGCGGCGGGGCAGGCACTGGGCGTGTGGTCGCCGCACGTGGATGGGGAGTTTATCACGGATCTCCCGCAGAAGCTGCTCGTGAACGGTGGTGCAGCGCGTGTATCCGTCGTGGTTGGTGAGCCAACTCCTTGGTGCGCTGGTACGAAGCCATGAGGCTGACATGACGTGGTAGGCAATGCGGAGGACGAAGGGACCGCCTTGACAATTTCCTACCCTGCCATTTCGTACGGTTCCTCTCCATGACCTTCGGCCAAACTCATACTGACGCGGCGACCGGGTGGGTAGGAACGACACCGAGTTCGCGGAGACGATCCGGGTGGCATACTACGCCAACATCTCCGACGCACAGATGGCACGGCTTCTCGCCCTCTATCCCAACGACCCAGCGCTGGGTGCTCCGTATCGGACCGGCGACCAGAACGTTCTCACGCCGATGTACAAACGCCTGGCGTCACTCGCGGGGGACGTCGGGGTGGATGCGGTGCGAAAGGTGTTTGCGCGGTCGTTCGCAGCGCAGGGAGAGAATGTGTGGGCCTACCGTGCGTCCCCATATTCTCTCCACTTCTCTTCTCCGTACGGTGTTCCTGATGTCCAAACCACACAGGCTACGCGCGCAACCGGGACGTCATCCCGGCGTTCGGAACAGTGCGTGTTTTCCTCGAGCCGGATTCGAACCTCCGGACTGACGCATCCGTACCACAGACACATGGATCCGAGATCCCGAACATGTACGGGGGTGGGGATATGACTGACCTCCTCATCAACTTCGTGAACACGCTCAATCCGAACATTCCGACTTCGAAGCTACCGTGGCCAAGGTACAGCCTTTCGAACCCAACCCTGCTCGAGTTCATCGGTAACTCATCGCTACGGCTCATCCCGGACACGTATCGAGAGGAGCAGATCGAGTACCTCATGCAGCTCAACCTGCAGCACACTTGGCCGTACTGAACTCGTCTCCGTCCAGTTGTCTATTCGCGCCGAAGTAGCACTTCAACGTACTAGAACGCGCCCTAGCTCTAATTCGATATACTCATTAATCGTACCCTGTCGTCCGCTCCGTACCTTCCGCCATGGGCACAACTAACGCGATACCCCGAGCAACAAGCATCGGGTATGTCCCCGTGTCCTACTGCCGTCCGTCGGGTCCGCTGCAGTCGCGATGACGGTGTTCCGTGCCTGAGACGCGCGTCCAGCTTCTGGAATGGCTCAGCGCCAACCTGAGCTTTGTCGGCCCGGCGCCGAGCGCAACGTGGTGTGTACTCGCCATGCACTACTGGCTCACCCCCATACTAGTATGACCGTCGACGCGCCATTGAGGCTCTAATTATCATCCTGCAGATTGCAGCGCTCTCGGCTCGCTTCTCCACCTGTATTGAGAACATGATATATGATATCAGAGACATCGAAAATCTCGATGATGTCATTTAGGATCCAAACGAGGAGTTCGGGCTGTCCAGGGAGTATGCGTCTGGAGCACGGCTTGAGGACGTTATGTAAATCATGGGCCGGATGAGGACGATTCCGTATCGATGTCTCATGACAAGGCCGTATGTACATGAAGCCACCATATCTCGTAACTCGTAGGGTTTGCGTCGTCTCTCATAACCTTCTGTGCTTCAGAAGTGAACAAATCCAGGAGAAGCTCTCTGTCTGTGCCAAAATATCTCATAACGAATGGGATTGCATTTCTTCGTGATCCATCCTTTCAAGAAAATAGCCTAAAGTCAAGCCGGTTAGAATCGAACTCCTACATTGTACCCAGGCTCACGACTCACCCTCTCTTTCCCCAGAAAGCGGCTCTTCAGTTCACGAACGGGACGTTGATCGAGTCCGTCCCGGGCGTGTAGCAGAAGTTGTTGTCCAGCTTCGTCCCACACCGGGCGAACGTGTTGCAGCTCCCGCCGCACGACGTGTTGTCGCAGAAGGCGACGTTCGCGCTCGCCATCAGGCACGCCGCCTGGCCTCTGACATTGAGGCACGTCGCCGATCCGGTGTAGATCCGGCACGTCCCGCCGCACACGGCACCGGACCGCCTGTCGCACCACACAACCCTCACGCTCCCCTGGCGACGCGCGAGGGCGTCGGCGCGGGGTGGGGGCGGCGGGGACTGGAGCGACTCGCCGTCGGCACCGACGTGGATGACCTCGGCGTCGGTCGTGGCGAGCCAGGTGAGAATGTCGCTGTCGCTGACGGCGTACTCGGCCTGTGGGTGGAAGAAGGGGTAAGAGTTCGAATAGGGTACATAGGGTGACTCTGGGCTCACCGAAGGAGCCACGGAGGCGGTTTGGATGGTGAGCGTGGCGAGAGCGGCGATGACGAGAGAGGCGAATGCAAACATCTTGTGGAGATGGGCTGAGGAGACTCTGGTGATTTTCGTCATCCATTGCGCCCCGCTTTATAGCGGCGAACCTCGCGCGGTTTCAAGAGCTACAGAGCTTTCGGCAGCATGCCAATGGGGTGGCGGCGGTGGCCTGTGACGATTCGATGTTTGAGGAAGATGAGAAGTCACCAAAGACGGCAGAAATACGACACTACTTGAACCAATTTCTTCAGCACCGAGGTCCATCTCTTGGAACCAGAGACTCACCTCCTCTCCTCGTGCGCTCCCTGCGGCACGTTGGAGTGCGCTCTTGCAATGACGTCGCAAGAGACGTTGGTTCTAAGTTGTATGACGGAGCGCCCGCTCCATGTCGGGCGGCCGTCGATCAAAGAATCTCCTAAATTGAGGAGCAGAATGGAACGTGGCATTATCTGCCGGATGCCCTTTTTCCTTTGGAGGGGTTGGTGCGCTATAAAAAAGCGAGTAGCACGTACGCTGCGTTGCCAGCCAGGATCGGAGCTCCTCAAAAGAAATTTGGCGCCTAAGCCGGAGCACACGCGGGCTGCTTACATCACACCCTCGAATTCGCACGCTCGGCCCTCGACGGGCCGTAGATTGGCAGGGTCTTGACGATCAAGCTCAAGCTTTGCGCGCACCCCGTTTCTGCTGCTGTCGGTTCCTCCAGCCAGTCAGAGATGTATGCGTTGCTGATCATGAACGCAGAGCCGTCTGATTGTTGGCCTTTCGGTACTAATGGGGGATTCAAGATGTCAGTACGCGGATGCAGAAGCAAGAGCGACAACAGCGAAGACCGGTTCAAGTTGAAGCCACCTTGGGTAACTCGGGCAAGCTGTGAAAGAAGGTGAAAGTAGATGATGCCAATGCTGATGGTCACGACAGAGGCGAGAAGGATGGTGAGATGTGTAGATGAAAATGGTTATATTATACTTCTGAAAGCATGCAATCGGCTCGAAAAACAGAGGGTAGCCTTATCATCCACATCGCGATGCGGCTGCGCAAGTACAAAATGATATCAGAAGATAGCTCGTACATTATGAAAGAGGAGCAAACTCATAGCCGATGCGCGTTATCAGTTCACAAACGGAACGATGATCGAGTTCGTGCCCGGCGTGTCGCAGAACCCTCCAGACAGCTTCGTCCCGCATGTGGACAGCTGATTGCAGCTCCCGCTGCACCCGCCGTGGTCGCAGAATGACACGTCCGCCGACGCCATCAGGCACGACGTCCCAGACGCGTCTAGGCACGTGTCCGGCCCGTTGTACACCTGGCACGAGCCGCCGCAGACGTTGCCGGACCGCTTGGTGCAGTAGGTGACCATGACGCTTTTGGCGCGCTTGGAGGTGGCAGGGCCGATGTATGTGATGTTGGCGTCGGTGGTGGCGAGCCAGGTGAGGAACTCGCTGTCTGTCACCATGCGGGCAGACTGGATGATGGCGAAGAGGTTCAGTCAAAAACGTTCGTATGGATACGGAGGAAATCATTCGTACCGTGGCAGTGGGCGTCGCCGAGCCTTTGGAAGCAAGGGCAGCGAGAGTGGCAACGACGAGAGTGGCAAAGGAGGTAGTGAAGAGCATGTTTGAGATGGTGCTGGGTGTGCTGAGTGGCGAAGTGTTGAAGTACCGCTCTCCTGCTCGTCCCTTCCATCTTAAGTGAGCTCATTGACGCTAGTGCCCGACATGCGTGGCCATCTCTGGTATCCTGCAAATAGCCCTCCACGTCATGCAGAGCAGCTTGTAGATGCGCTGTGGAGTGATGGCAGAGTCTGAACTTTGAAGTGGGGCATCGATCACAAGAGCAGTGAGTACAATCGCCTGCTAAATCCGCTCAGGCAGAAATTGGCCACTCACGAAGCTACTTTTTGCGCAGCAGAATCGAACAGGACTGAGGAGGGCACTACTCAGTCGTCATTGTAGCACTGCGGGTTGATGATTATGTGGAGTATATCTTGGAGCGCCGTCTGAGTCGTTACAACGGAATCAACATACAGAAAGCTCCTGGCAGATGCTCCATACCTTTTCACTACGGTGGTGCGGTAAGGTCTCATACCGCTCGTGTCGTAGTGGACGGATACATCCGGAGTGAAGTACCAGAAGGCGCCGATTCCATCAGGCCCTCGGCGCTCGCGATTTTCGTAATCTGGGCGGAGTTCAATGTTTAGCGTCATCCAGTGACTGGTAAGTACTGTCGGAGACTGAACCAGATACGCTTGCGCCCTCAATCTCTTTAATCGGAGTTTAAACACTTTTACATGGGCTGAATTGCCGGCACGTCGGCAAAGCAGGCCCGGTTCTCGTTCGTGTTGGAGCGTCGTGATCAGCATCTTGTAACTACCACTTCACCAGGTAGGCTTGCCCTTCTCCCTACGTCGTCCCGAGTTGGCTGAACGGAGTCAACAGCAGACACCCGTAAAAAGCTGTAAGTCTGCAAGTCTGGGCTCGGGACTCGAGCTCGTGCCACCATTAACGGCGACTTTTCTTCCCCATTCCAGGACCAGTTGACGTGTGGTCATGATCGATTGATCACTGACCGAACTGGCAGCAGCATTCGCGGCAACGAGCACAGGACGTCGCGTCTGCCAAGTGCAAGAAACAGAAATCTGATCCTCAAGAGGTGTTCACTGGGTGGCGCACGCGAGGAGAGCGACGTTTGTGCCTGGAACCAGCTGGAACTCGAGGAACCGACGGTATTCGGCGTCTAGGATGGATGGACGCACTCGTTCCCTGGAATCCCCTTCGCTGAGCCTCTCTTTCGGCAGTATACCTCCTCTCGCTCCTCGCACCGTGCGTTCACGCCCACCTGATCATGCCCCCCACCCGCACCCGCTGAGTCCTGAACCATACACCCCCGCAGGCTGCTGCCAGAACGCGCGGCGGGACACGCCCATGAACCTCTGTGAGCCAACCGTGCCGCGCTCGACCGGCGGCCAGCTCCCGACGCACAACTTCATCCAGCTCGCCGCGCGCGCGAGGCTCGCAGGTCGTTACCCAGCCCGCGCTGACCGGTTTCTTCTTCCGCCCATTCCCGGTCCCGCCTCGCGCCCGATCACCCGCCCTGGGAGCCCCGCTAGGACGTCACCGCGATGACGGCCACAGAGGTCCCCGCAGACCGCAACGGATCGTTTGGGGGCGCGCTCTTCCGGCGCGTGGAGTCGGCATGAGCGCAGTCGAGGCGGATGCAATGAACTCGCGCTCGGTGCTGAGTGCCCCCGCGCTGAAGCTGGTACGGCCTGCCGTCGTAGGCCCGGACTTGAGCGCTTGAGCGGGGATGGGCTGACGGGTGTTGAAACGTTGAACGTTGAACGCGGAGGGCGAGCGGCGAGCGGCCCGGCTCGCATGGGAAGGACATGGATGGACAGGCGGACATCAGCCCACTGGGATCCCCCGATTCGTTCGTCCCTTTCCCTTCCCCTTTCTCTTTTCGACACGGCCGGAACTCGCTGCGATGGGCAGGCTGCAGAATGTACCTACAGATTGAAGACCATGACTCGAACTCGGCGCTTCTATGCATCTAGGCGGGCATCGACACAACTGTTCGCGCGGAGGCGACAATCGAGGTAGATGCCATAACGAGGAACGGAAAGATCAGAAGGAGCCGAAAGTTGAGGTATCGCGCTCTGGACGGCCGCCGCCGCCAGCTCAGGGTGCCCGCGCAGTGGCGGAGGGCCGGGGCGACGCGTGAGCAGATGCGCCTATGACGAGTGCGATCAAGGACAAGGATGGAGTTGGCTACGCGGCGCGGCCAGGACACTGCGCGGGGGGCTGCTCTGGAGCACCACCCACTGCGCTTGTCGCACTTGACCGTCGCTACAGGAAAGCGGCGGCTGCGGACGCCGCATCCCAACAGGTCCTCCTGTGCGAGATCGTGTGGTTGCAAAGAACGCAAACGGCGCCTCGTTACACGTTCAACGTTTGGACGTACATCAGTTGTCGTCACTCGTGAGAATTATAGATCGCGGTTTGTTGAATGTCTGGGGAAGCCTGTGAGATACGGCGCCGCGAGACAGAAGGACAACATAGGGGAATATGCCTTGTAGACGAAGCGTCTTGAGCAAAGAACCCGAGAAGTCGGAATGACAGCAGGTCGCCACGCATGTCGTGACTAGAAATGCTGAGCGAGCTGGAACGTGTCGCGTAGTGTTGCGAAAGTCCTCAGGTGGTACAGCGCAGCCGCAAGGACGGTGATGGAACACAGGATGCAACGGCGTCAGGATATGCGAAGTGATGGCGTGGGAGATGATGCCCCCCTGGGATGTTTTCTGGCACGTCCTCGTTGAGGTGGAAGTCCTGGCGCTGCATGAGCTGAGGTCGCCGAATCCCTACTGTTGGGAAGATGCTTACGGAAAGGCAGAGGTAGTGTACACAAGCAAACCCGACACATCACCGCGCCTTGACCGCGGGCGGAGGGTGATATCGCGATGGCAAGGATCGCCGGCCGCCGCGGGCGCTTGCACGCAAGGCCTCGGATCCCGGCACATGACGCGCTGCCACGCACTGCCAACTTCAGCCTTGATTCTAGCGCCTTAGAACTTGGGTTACAACACCGTCCTGCCCGCAGGCTCCGTTTGCGACATTCACAGTGTTCAGGAACCAGGAAACCTCCGACGGTGACGACGATGCAAGACTCGGGTGGTAGCCCGCAGGCCAGGCTCCTACCCGGTCTGGATCTGGATTGTGACGATGGGATTCCATCCGAATGACAAGGCAGCATTCACGGCGCGCGCATGCCGAGCGGGGTGTTCGCTCCTTTCCGTTGATTTACTCAAACCGTCATATGGTCCACTCACGTGGGACCGTTTTACGCTCCGCATCTTCGGAGGGAGGCACTTTCTTTCGATGGTCTACGACAGGTACGTCAGGAGGTCATTTCACAGAAGCCTGATCTCCTTGGAACGCTGACAAAACGTCCAGCGGCTTTGGGATCGCGCCACCTCTATAGACAGTAGGTAGTCGTAGGTGCGCTATATAAGCAATCCATTAGAGCGCAGTCCGCTCACGCCCTCATTGCCGACAGGCGCACCAAGATGGCGATTCTGGCGCTCTTCCTCTTCGTCTTCCACCTAGCCCTGTGCACCCTCGCCCTTTCCGTACCCTCCAGGCCTCCCACCATCCGACTCGACGATGCGACGGTGGTCGGCGTCTCGGATGGCTGGACTCGCTCGTTCCTTGGCATCCCCTTCGCCGAGCCACCGTGAGCCACCGTCTTTCTTATGCATACATACCGGAGCTTGCTTATGCTCTGGACAGGGTCGGCCAGATGCGCTACCAGCTCCCGAAGGCTGTTCCACCATACTCGGGAATGATCAACGCCACCCAGTTCGGCAAGCAGTGTCTCAACACCGGGGCGACCGGTTTTCCTTCGTGGCTGACCCGGGACATGATCACATACTTGGCAACGACGTTCGGGCCGCCCAACCCTTCTTCCTTCGACGAGGACTGTGAGTTGGTTGTCTTGTGTCTCGCCCCTCATGCCGATCCAGTGTTCCAGGCCTCAACTTGAACGTCATCGTACCGGAGCATGTGGGCCCCCTCGAGAAGCTCCCCATCGTTGCCGTGCGTTTCCATTCACTTGCGTCGTTTCATATTTTTTACATTGTGTTAATCCGCGCGTACAGTACATCTTCTTTAGTCAGTATTCACCCCACATCCTGTTCAACGTTAATGCTGACTGCATCTCCTCTAGGCGGTTTTGAGACCGGTGGGACCTACGAGTGAGCAACCTTCACCAAGAGTGCACTCTCGATCACTCATCATGTCGATGCAGCGAGGATGGTCGTATCATGGTCAACCACTCTGTCGCCATCGGGGAGCCCGTGATATGGGTCTCCATGAACTATCGGTGAGTGAACGACGTCATGAAGCTCCAGAGCCATTGCTGAACGGGCTATGTCCTTATAGCCTAGGTCGTACGTATGATTGATCCGGGAAATTACGCCGTTGTGCTCACTGCACGTCAGCATACGGATTCCTTCCCGGGAAAGAGGTCAAGGAAGCCGGAGTCGGCAATCTTGGGCTTCAAGACCGTGAGCCTCTCGTCTATCATCGACTTCTCTGCAGCTAATGCCAGTCCACAGAACGCCTGGCACTGCGATGGATCCAGAAGTACGCGAGAGCGTTCGGCGGAGACCCATCTCGGGTGACCATGTACGCAGAACGTTATGTTGTCGGTTGTGGGACTCTTGCACTCTGACGACTATTCGCATTAGGCTCGGTCTCAGCGCGGGGGGCTCGTCCGCCATTTTCCACACAGTCGCCAACGGAGGCAACAACGAAAACCTCTTCCACGGAGTCTGGGCCGAGTCCGGCCCGATCCAGCACGTCGGATGCATCGACGATCCGATCAACCAAGCGATCTACGACGACTTCGTTGCTGCCGTGAACTGCTCAGGCATTGCGGATTCCCTGCAGTGTCTAAGAGACGCGGACGTGTCGACCTTGCAAGGCGTCGCGGGGAAGTCGACAAAGACATTCTGGGCAGTCGCTGCAGACGGGGTCTTCTTCCACGACCTGCCACAGCTGGAGCAGGCGAACGGCAACATTTCGCAGAATGTCGCCATCGTCATGGGTGCGTCCGTTCTGATCATATCCCATCTGCATGCGCTCAGGCATTTCATTTCAGGCTTCTCTGAGGATGAGGGCACGCTGGCCACACTGGCAGTCCTTGACACCACCATGTATGTTCATCCTCCGCACATCGTTGTCGACGCTAAGGTGCCCTTGAAAGAAACGATTCGGTGATAACGGGGCTCATCAAGACGACCTACCCCAACATCACGGACGGCGACGTGCAGAAGTTGCTTACCATGTATCCGGACGATCCGGCGATTGGGGCCCCGTACGATACGGGGACCGACTTTGAGATCATACCTCAGTGGAAACGCTATGCGTCCATCGCTGGGGACATAGATTTTGACGCTCCTATCCGGTTGACTGCCCAGCTGCGCGCCGACAAGCAGCCTGTTTGGATTTACTGTCAGTTGGCTCCGTTTCCGCTTGTAAAGATAAGCTTTTTTCTGATCGCGATTGAACTCTAGACTACGAGCGCAACTTCGTCCCCGGGTTTGGCTCCGTATGTCGATCATCTCCTTGCATCTCGCTTTTGCAAGAACGTGCTCACGACCTCTCTCTTAGACCCACGGAGCCGAAGTTCCAAACATGTACGAAGCAGGCGACATGACCGATCTCCTGATCCACTTCGCGAGCACCTTCAACCCGAACCCCAGTTTCCTCACCAACCCGAGCAGCCCCACCTGTCGCCCTAGTACCTGGGGTGCTCGTCGGGACACCTCGAAGGAGGCGAACACGGCGCGGGCTCCGTACTGGCCGCCGTACTCGACCTCGGCGCCCATGTATCTCGTGTTCGCCCCCAACGATACTTTCGCATACCTGAATGGCACGTACAGGTCTGAGCAGATCGACTTCATCAACATCTTGAACAGGCAACCGTGATACCACGTTCCCTCTGTCCTTTGTACTTGACGCTCCCTCCGCACAAACATTGTCCTTTACACATTACGCGGGCTCTTTGGCGTGCGTTAACGCGTCCGATCTTTTCACCCCAGTGCATTCATGTAGACTCTTGATCCATGCCACGTCGAATGTGAATCAGCTTCCAGTCCGCTTCGACATGCCGCCTACGTCTTGACTCGTTGTGGCGAGCATTCGCGGCCGATCTTGACTGAACGTTACTCCAGCAAGCCAACGTGTTCGGCCAATCCCTCTCCTCCACGGTCCACCACATGCCGCGGGTGGTGTTTCCGCCGAAGCATGTGCTTAGTCTGGGATAGCGACAGTGACGTCATATCATGGATGTACGGTAATATTCTTATCTCGATCGGGCGCCTTGGTGACAATTGTTGTTGCAAGCCACGCGGCTTCGAACCGTCTTTCCGCTTCGGCCGTCCCGGATAGATTTATTCTTTCCTGTGCGTTGATTCAGGCGAGTCTTAACCTCACGTTTCCCGCAATATGCTGACAAAATACGTATTCTCATGTCGCTGAGGCGCACACCGCGCGGAAGTCTGATGGGATGGACAGGAATAGCCCTGTGGGACCTCAAAGCAGTAGATTCAACCTAAGGAGTTTCGAGCAGGTAATATATAGTCTACGGTAATGGCGACAGAGTGAAACCATGGAGTTGTGAGTCGTCCTTCAATCATCAGCGCGATACGGCGGCTGCCCGTGAGTGAACAAACATACTGAGCACCTCGTTTTTATGCAACCAGACAGGCTAGAACTCACGATTCTCTGGCTGACCAACGGGACGGCAGTCGGGTTTCTCCCTTGGCGGATGACGGGGGCGGAGTAGGTCTCCCGGGCGGGCCATGGACCACGACGGGCAGGCGCTGGTGTCCGTGAAGCGCTGAAGACGCTGGGGGGAGGCGTGCCTCCGGTGAACATGACGGGTTCAAGAACTGTTCGGCCTCGGTCCGGACGCTGCGCGGGTCTGCTCCGATGCGCCGCCCAAGCCACGCGCAGATCGTCATCTCCTACCTCGCCATCGCCGCACCAAGGCGGCGGCGACGGCGACAACGGAGTCGACGCACCCACGAGAGAATTCCTCGCGTCGCAGGTGCGGTTGTGGTCCGCGGAAGGAGGACGGCGCGGGTGGCCTGACTAATGCGTGGTCGGACGGGCGCAGAGAGGATAGAAGTGGGGTAGGGAGGCATGCACACAGGAGGACAGCGGAGGGACCTAGTACGGGGTCCACTGCGCGCCAGAGATGGGCCCTGCGCCAGGGCTGACGTTCCCCGCCGAGTCCGGATCCTTCGAGCCCTTGCGCGCTGCGGGACGGCGTGGCTTGCGCGTCCCGACGGCCGAGCGTGTACGCTGCGCCTTGTCCTGGCCGCGCCGCCTGGGATGGTCTGGGTAGACGCAGACCTCGCCCGCCGAGTGTTGGCAGCTGAGACAGGCGGGCTTTGCGCCGTCGCAGCGGAGCTTGCGGACACGGCTGCAAGGCAGACGCGCAAGTCAGCGGATGCAATAACGAAGATGGGATGGCATGAGTAAGCCGGAGGCCGACCGGGGAGCCGCTGGTAAGAGGCAAGTGGCAACGAGAAGAGAAAATCAAGAGGAGCGCAGCGATGGCCACACGAAACGAAGCGAGGTGCTGAACGGAAGGAATGGCTCACCATCGGTTGCAGGCCACGCAGACTCGCTCGCGGGGCTTCCCGTCGACGGTCAGAGGCTGGCTGGGATCAAGGGCGATCTTGGGTTTGCTCTTCAAGCTGCCCCCGGGCTCGCTCTCGCCCGGGCTCGAGCCGTCGAAGTCGTTCAGGCCAAAGGCAGGGTCGTAGCCGGCGTCATACTGAGAAGAGTATAGCTGCGATCCGGTCGGGTGCTGGATCTGCTGGTAGGAGTGTTGCTGGTGTGCGCCCTGAGTGAAGTGCGCACCCGAGTGGGGGTGCTGAGGGTACGCGTGAACCGGGGCGGCCATGCCCGACATTGTCGAAGAGCCTTGTTGAAAAGAAGGCCGATAGCCGGAGGGGTGACCGGATGGGTACTGGCCGGGGGAGTACGAAGTAGGGTGCTGTATTGCGGGAGGATAAGTGGTGTGAGGGAACGTGCCCGGCGCATGTGCGGTATCGGGGAAGCCGCTGGCGAGGTACTGCTGGGTGCCGTCAGAGTAGTAGCGCGGGTTAAGCACATGTTCTTGATCGGAAAGCAATGCATTGAGCCAGGCGACTACATCCGCATCGTTGGATGAATGCGTGTGGCCATCCGGGGGCCCTGGGGCGTACCCGTGCTGGTGGGGATAAGAGGAGTGGTCGGAGGGCATTGTGGGGGATGGGGGAATGGGGCTGCTGTAGGCGTGCCTGCGTACAAGTACGATCGGAGCCGCAGTAGGTCGTGCGGGTGGCTGAGGTCGAGAGGGCGGCGGAGGGTGTGGAGTGAGGACGACATGGTGGTTGAATAAATAGCCTAGAGAGCTGGCACGGCTGCGTTTCGTGAGACAGCGCAGCGGACTGGCCTCAAATTCGCCCGAACGGAGGATCGGGTACTGCGATCTGGCATAAACCTGATGGGCCGCCGGCGTAGGTGGACAAATGAGAATGCTGTGAGGGCAGTCTGCTTGTGATCGAGGCAGGGCGGTGGATCATGCTGATTAGATCTGGAACCTTAACCCGGGGGACATTGCGCGGGGCGCTCCCATCTGGACTGCGTCTGAGCGTGTGTCGCAACCCGTCACGCGCAGTCATTGAAGCTGCGGAAACTCAGCTGTTCTTGTAGGAGACCGTCTGGTCGCAAGAATGCAAGCGACGCCTCGTTACGGATCGCAGCACGTTCTCAGAGGAGAAGTGAAGGTAAGTTTGGACGCACATCGAGTCAGTCGTTGTCATTTTGCGTGAGTTGTAGATCGCGGTTCGTTGAGTGTCTGGGGAAACTTGTGAGATGCAGCATGGCGAGACACAAGAGCAAGATAGGAAAATATACCTTATAGACGAAGCACCTTCCACAGAGAAGCTCTGAAACCGGCATCATAGCCTGGCCAAGTCGTCCCGCACGTCATCGTCTCCGCGACCGACGGTGGCGAGATGGTTTCTACGCGTCGCAGACTGTTGTGAATGTCCTCAAGCGGTACAGCGCAGGCATGCTGCCGCGAGGATGGTGATGGAGCACAGGATGCAACGCGGCCAAGATATGCGAAGTGATGGCGTGGGAGATGCTCACTTGGGATGTTTTACGGCATGTCCTCGTTGATGCGGAAGTTCTGGTGTCGCATGAGCGAAGTCTCCGGATTGCCACTGAGTGCTGGGGAGACGCTTACGGAAACGCGAGTGAATCGGTCAATCCGAGAGTGTCTACTTTACAAGCACGCCTGACACGTCATCGAGCCTGGCTCGGGGCTTGGATCCGTTCGCTGGCCGGTTGGACGGCACGTTCCATCTGAGGCACCCGACGGGCCATGTGGGGACGGACGAGGTGGAGGCTGCTACGTGGTTATTGCATCCATGCTTCTCCCACCTGCGCAGCTCCGGCGCTGGGCGCTTGCGTGGTATAGTCCCCGGATCTCCCACGGAGCACATGACTCGGCGACCACGTACTGCCACGCACTGCGCGCGGCTTGCGTTACCACCGCCAACACCGTCCTACCCGCAGGCTCTGTCCTTGCGACATGCGACTGTCCAGGTACCAGGAACTCCGCACCCTACCTCCCAGCCGGCTCAACAGTCGTGGACACTCTTCACAGTGTTGTACCGCAGCCCATCTGCGCCGCTAGTTTGTCTGCCGTGTGGCGGCGGCTGTACGTCTGCAACGCGTTGTCACCGAGGTGCATGCGAGCCTGAACAAGATATTCGGGAACCAAAAGCTCGTAGTGCCGATAAATGCGGTCGTCGAAAAAGGGCAAATTCAAGTCCCACCATTCCGGCCCGCCGGACAACAATCCGAGGAAGTCGGGAGTGGTTGATCGATTGATCCAGTGTCTCCTCCGGTGAATAAGTACTCCAGAACGCAATTTTCGAGGTCGGTTGCTGACTCACATCTATACTGCGCTGTGCTGTTTGAAGATCTTGCTTACGCCGTCCGTCTGTCAGCGGCTTTGACCCCGAGCTGGGCAAACTCGCGACTCCCGAGCGCGCAAGCCCGGACTCCCGGACATTCGAGGAGAAGTCGACACGCTGCATCATTCGACGCGTGGGTGCAAGGTCAAAGTCACAGTGAGTGCTTCCCAGCAGCTATATCTATCCCCCTACCGACCTATCAAGGCAATTCACGCACGCAATGTACACCCAACCCATCCCACCACACCGCTCGCGTGCTGCGGAGGGCCCAGTACCCACGCTGCAGCACCAGAAGCTCCCTTCGCGCTGGCACGCCTCCGCCCGCAGCGACCGCTCATGCACTTGGCGCGGGGCGCCAGGGCTCCCCGTGGCGCGCGTGATGCGACCGTCGACCGTGACGGTCGCCTTGTGCACCTAGCTCGATTGCCCGAAGTCGTGCCTTTGGCGGTGCGGCGCGGCTGCGACCGCGATCAACCGCAGCGCTCGCTCGATCGTCTCGACCCTCGGACGCGTCGACCCCGCACGGAGCAGTGTCAATGCCAGTGTGTCCCGGATGGTGGGCGTGTGTGGGCGTGTGCTGCGCCCGCGCTCGAGGTGCTGCGCGCGCTGGAGCCCGGGCCGCGGGACTCGCGTGGGCGTGATCCCCGCCCGGGACGTGTGGAAAGGTCACAGTCGCCGACCGTGCGTCCTCCGACCTGACGGAAGGGGGCGCAGGCGCGGTTGTCTCGACGGACGACGGTGTAGAAGGGCGCGTGGACCGTCGGTGCTCTGGGATATGCGGGGCTGGCGTTAAGGATGTTGTTGGCCACGCTGCCTCGTTTGGATGTCGGGCTCGACCGGCTTTCCCCACGCGTGGCGCTGGCCCGCCAGAGGCTCCGAGTAACGCCAGCACACGCTGACTAAACCCGTGCCCGCGCCGATTAGCGCCAAAACCAAAGGGCTATGGGCCGAGCGACGCCTGGGAAGACCACAAGCGACGCAGGACTCAAGCGACGTAAGACTGAAGTGGCAGTCTGTGAGTCCCGTCTGGATCCGGAGCGAACGACTTGGCAGCATTCACGCGTCCGGCGTCGCAGCGCACGCATGCTGGATGAGGTGTTCCTTTCCTCGACTCGCTGTTGATTCGCTCAGATCGTTCTATTACGGGACCGCACGTCTCGCATCTTCGGGGGGAGGCACTTTTTCTCGACGGTCTACGGCAGGCTCTTACGTCCGGAAGTCATTTCATGGAAGCCTGATCTCCTCAGCGGTACGCTATATAAACGATCCGTTGGGGTGCGGTCCGCGAACACCCGCATTGCCCCGCGTGCTGGTAGGCGCACCACCATGGCGATTCTGGCGCCCCTCCTCATCGTCCTCCACCTAGCCCTGTGCACCCTCGCCGTTTCTGTGCCCTCCAGACCGCCCACCATTCAGCTCGACGATGCGACCGTGTTCGGCGTCTCAGATGGATGGACCCGCTCGTTCCTCGGCATTCCCTTCGCCGAGTCACCGTGAGCAACCGTCTTTCTCATGCATGTATGTCGGACCTTGCTTATGTGCTGGACAGGGCCGGTCAGATGCGCCTCCAGCTCCCGAAGGCCGTTCCACCATACTCGGGAACGATCAACGCCACCCAGTTCGGCAAGCAGTGTCTCAACACCGGGGCGAGCACTATTCCTTCGTGGCTCACCTCGGACATGAAGACCTATTTGGGCACGACGTTTGGGCCACCCAACCCTTCTTCTTTCGACGAGGACTGTGAGTTGGTTGTCTTGTGTCTCGCCCCTCATGCCGATCCAGTGTTCCAGGCCTCAACTTGAACGTCATCGTACCGGAGAACGTGGGCCCCCTCGAGAAGCTCCCCATCGTTGCCGTGCGTTTCCATTCAATTTCATCGTTTCATATTTCTCACATTGTGTCAATCCGCGCGTACAGTACATCTTCTTCAGTCAGTATTCGCGCTCCATGATGTTCAACGCCCCAGCTGACTGTATGTAGGCGGTTTTGACTTCAGTGGAACCTACAAGTGAGTATATGTTACCGAGAGCGCACTCGCGATCACTCATCCCGTCGATGCAGCGAGGATGGTCGTATCATGGTCAACCACTCTGTCGCCATCGGGGAGCCCGTGATATGGGTCTCCATGAACTATCGGTGAGTGAGCGACATCATGACGGCCCAGGGATGTTGCTGAACGAGCTCTATCCTTCTAGCCTTGGTCGTACGTAAGCTTTATCCGGGAATATGTCGTTGTGCTCACTGCACGTCAGCATACGGATTCCTTCCTGGGAAAGAGGTCAAGGAAGCCGGAGTCGGCAATCTTGGGCTTCAAGACCGTGAGCCTCTCGTCTATCCTCGACCTTTCTGCAGCTAATGCCAGTCCACAGAACGCCTGGCGCTGCGATGGATCCAGAAGTACGCGAAGGCGTTCGGCGGAGACCCATCGCGGGTGACCTTGTGCGCAGAACGTTCTGTCGCCAGCTCTGTGCTCTGACCATCTTTCGCGTTAGGCTCGGTCTCAGCGCGGGGGGCTCGTCCGCCATTTTCCACACAGTCGCCAACGGAGGCAACAACGAAAACCTCTTCCATGGAGTCTGGACCGAGTCCGGCCCGATCCAGCACGCCGGATACATCGACGATCCGATCAACCAAGCGATCTACGACGACTTCGTGGCCGCCGTGAACTGCTCAGACGTTGCGGATTCGCTGCAGTGTCTCCGAGACGCGGACATATCGACCTTGCAAGGCGTCGCGGGGAACTCGACAGAAAACTTCTGGGCAACCGCTGCGGACGGGGTCTTCTTCCGCGACTTGCCGCAACTGGAGCTGGTAAACGGTAACATTTCGCAGAATGTCGCCATCGTCATGGGTGCGTCCGTTCTGATCATGCATCGTCTGTATGTGCTCATGTAGTTTATTTCAGGCCTCTCTGAGGATGAGGGCACGCTCAATACGCTGGCAGTCCTCGACACCACCATGTATGTTCATCCTCCGCACATCGTTGTCGAAGCTGAGGCGCTCTCAACAGAAACGATACGGTGATAACGGGACTCATCAAGAAGACCTACCCCAACATCACGGACGGTGACGTGCAGAAGTTGCTTACCTTGTATCCGGACGATCCGGCGATCGGGGCCCCGTACGACACGGGGACTGACTTTGAGATCATACCTCAGTGGAAACGCTATGCGTCCATCGCTGGGGACATCGACTTTGACGCTCCTATCCGGTTGACTGCCCAGCTGCGCGCCGACAAGCAGCCTGTTTGGGTTTACTGTCTGTAGTCTCCATCCTCTCTTGGAAGATGTTCTTTCTGATCGCGATTGAACTCTAGACTACGAGCGCAACTTCGTCCCCGGTTTTGGCTCTGTATGTCGATCATCTCCTTGCATCTCGCTTTTGCAAGCACGTGCTGACGACCTCCCCCTTAGACCCACGGAGCCGAAATTCCGAACATGTACGGAGCAGGCGACATGACCGATCTCCTGATCCACTTCGCGAGCACGTTCAACCCGAACCCCAGTTTCCTCACCAACCCGAGCAGCCCCACCTGTAGCTCTACTGGTGGTGCTCCCCGGGACACCTCGAAGGAGGCGAACACGGCGCGGGCTCCGTACTGGCCGGCGTACTCGACCTCGGCGCCCACGTATCTCGTTTTCGCCGCCAACGACACGTTCGCGTATCTGAACGGGACGTACCGATCCGAGCAGATAGACTTCCTGAACACCTTGAACAAGCAACCGTGATACTCTACTTTACGCTCGCCCCGTAAAAACACTGTCCTTTACACTTTACGCTCCTTTAGTACAAACGCTGTCCTTTGCACTTAGTGCAGGCTCCTTGGTGTGCGTTAACGCGTCCGGTCTTTTCAGCCCATTGTTTCTATGCGTACTCGTGATTCATGCTACCTCGAATTCGCGGAAAGGACGCTTCCTCGACTACGGCAGGTAGCCACCTGGACTCTAACTCCCACATGTAGCAATTCGAATTCCACACTCCAACCGGAGCATTCGTGGCCTCGGATCCAAGCTTGCCATGGCGGCCCATTATGTTGATGGAATGTTACTCCGGCAAGTCAGCGCCCTCGGCGAATCCCTAGGCGAATCCACCATCTACGCCTTTCCCCTGCAACGCACCCGCACCACCGCCCTCGCCGTCCTCGCCACGCCCCCGACCCTCTCAGACTCAGATCCTGACCTGCTCCGCGCGCGGGTCTTAGTCTGAGGCGTGCGGGCTCGACCCCACCGGGGGCTCTCGCTCGTGCCGGAGCACTTCTCGCGCGGGGAGAGCCTCGCGGACGTCACGTACTACTACGGCCGCTGAGTCCGCAATATCGCACGTCTGGGCCGACATTTCGACATTTCGGCATCATCGATGGAGCCCGGTATCTCTCTTAAGCTTGTTCGAGTCGTTTCTCGAACCGATTCCCCATGCCGCGCGTGGGATTTCGGCGAAAGTACCGGCTTAGTCTGGAAAGTGACGTCATAACTGATGGATGTGCGATAGCTTTCTTATCTCGATCGGGCGCCTTGATGACACGTTGGCGTCGCTGTGCGACTTGCAGCTCCCTTTGTTCCGTCCCTCCCCTTCGGCCATCCCGCGATAGTAGACATGTTCCTCTCATTGTAAGCCTATGCTGTGGATTTAGGCGAGTTTGAACACTTTAGTTTCCCGCAACATCCTGACAAAATAAGTATTCTCTGAGGAACCGATCGAGTGCTTTTTGTGCGACAGTGCGCGCACATTCGTACACCGTTGTGGAGGCTGTCTGCCAAATGACCAACGTTCCCGCAAGTGTCACCTCGCTCCGGCCCCCGAATAACGTGGGCTCAATGCAGAGGACGACATACAACTTCAACATCTCACAACGAACTCAGCGATAGTATACATGCGCAATACTGATTTCCTGGAATCCCATTTCATCCTTTCAAGAAAACACCCTAAAATCAAGTTAGTTGCAATCTAACTCCTACATCATACCCCTCGCGACTCACCCTCACTTTCCAGGTCGGATAGCCGCCCTTCAGTTCACGAACGGGACGTTGATCGAGTTCGTCCCGGGCGTGTAGCAGAAGTTGTTGTCGAGCCTCGTCCCGCACTGGAAGTACGTGTTGCAGCTCCCGCCGCACGACGTGTTGTCGCAGAAGGCGACGTTCGCGCTCGCCATCAGGCACGCCGCCTGGCCCTTGACGTTGAGGCACGTCGACGTGCCGGTGTACATCCGGCACGTCCCGCCGCACGCCGCGCCAGACCGCTTGTCGCACCAGACGACGTTCACGTTCGACGCGCGACGCGCGAGCGCGGCGGCGCGGGTCGTCGGCGGGAAGGGGAGCGGCTCGCCGTCGGCGCCGACGTGGATGACCTCGGCGTCGGTCGTGGCGAGCCAGGCGAGGATGTCGCTCTCGCTGACGACGTACTCGGCCTGTGGGCAAATGTGGGTAAGAGAATGGGGGCACACAGGGTGCTCTGGGCTCACCGAAGGAGCGGCGGAGGTCGTCTGGATTGCGAGCATGGCGAGAGCAGCGACGACGAGAGAGGTGAATGAAAACATCTTGTGGAGATGGCCTGAGGAGGACTCTGCTGAGCTGATTTTCTCCATCCATCGGTCTCTGTTTTATAGTGGCGAATTTTGCGTAGTCCCAAGAGCTACCGAGCTGTCGGCAGCAGGCCAGTGCGGTGGTCACCCTGTTGTCCTGTGACTGTTTCATGTTGTGGGAAGATGAAAAGTCGCTAAGACGGCCGAAATACGGCATAGCACCGTCGCTTGGAACCAGAGATCCGCCTTTTCTCCTCGTGCATCTCCCGACGCACATCGGAGCGCGTTCTGGAAAAGACTTCACGAGAGACCTTGGTTCGACAATGTATCGTAGGGCCCGCGGCTGGACCACTCCATGTCCGGCCAACCGAGACCGTTCATCAAAAGAACCTCCTAAAGTGAAGGGTAGCAGGGAACCTGCGTCAGTCCGGCGACCATGAAGAATACCAGGAGACGTGACGTGCGTCCAGATGGACCCCATGGCATACCGCACGGACAGGCGTAGCTCCGGTCGATGGACGAGGGAGACAAACAGGTGCTCATACGTACAGAGGTCCAGGCCAGATGCCGGACACATCACGTACGGCTTCACGCGTGCAAAATTACTGATGACTGTATTAGTAGACACTGAACACGAAGCCAATTACATGGCGGCATATACTGGCAGTGTAGCGAACACAGCCGGGCGCGAACAGATGAATGACGCAGGGCCTTCGGTGCGCATGGAGAGCGCGCAGGACCTGATCAAAACAAGCACCGACGCTAAGTATCCACACAGTTGGAACCGAGTGGAGATGAAGGGGAGGTGCGAAGGCAGTGCACCGCGGTACGTGCTATGGAAGGGCGGAGAAGGGGGACATGGGACACGCGGGGAGATTATACGAATGGTGGGAGCACAGGGATTGGGATCGGACGTGCGAATGCGAGAAGGAGCGCATACTAAGGGGAACTGTCCGCTGGGGTGCGGGAGCGCGGAGGCGAGGTACTGGAACGTCGCGCGGTCAGCGGGGCTGCACGTCGAACGGTTGTAGGACGGGTTCGGGGGAAGGGCATCGTTGAGGATGCGGATGATGAGGTCGAGCGCGGGCGCAGCACCAGATGGGCGCCAGGAGGTGCGGGGAGGCGGCGACAGTGTCGATGGATTGTGTGCGGAACGTGAGGGCGAGTCACTTAAGTTCTGTTTTGCATATTATCGCGACACAAAACTCGTCATCCTTGTCGTCATCGCGTTCTAGACCTCGCAAGGGGGATTGAGAGTCAAGGGGCGCTCACCGAGAACACTGATGTAGCCACATATAATTCCGAAGACGGTCACTTCCATCGCGTTTCAAATGGACTCAGTGGGGATGAGACGGAGATATAATTGCACGGGTTCAACCTTCTTCGGGAAAACCTTTTGATGATCAAACTTTGCGCGCACTGCGTATCGACTAGACCTGTTGCTGTCGTACCCTCTATTGCAGCCAGTCACTGGAGATGTATGCAGTGAGAAGTTGTATTATACTTCTGGAAGCGTGCAACGTAGAATGATAGGGGGTAGTCCTATAATGCACGTCGCTGCGCAAGTTAAAAACATAGCTCGTATAATACGAGAGAGAAATACACTCACCGCCGACGCGCGCGATCATTCAGTTCACAAACGGAACGATGATCGAGTTTGTGCCCGGCGTGTCGCAGAACCCTCCGGACAGCTTCGTCCCGCAGCTGGACAGCTGGTTGCAGCTCCCGCTGCACCCGCCGTGGTCGCAGAACGACACGTCCGCCGACGCCATCAGGCACGATGTCCCAGACGCGTCCAGGCACGTGTCCGGCCCGCTGTACACCTGGCACGAACCGCCGCAGACGTTGCCCGACCGCTTGGTGCAGTAGGTGACCGTGACGCTTTTGGCACGCTTGGAGGTGGCAGGGCCAACGTATGTGATGTTGGCGTCGGTGGTCGCGAGCCAGGTGAGGAACTCGCTGTCTGTCACCATGCGGGCAGACTGGATGATGGCGAAGAGGTTCAGTCAAAAACGTTCGTATGAACACGGAGGAAATCATTCGCACCGTGGTGGGCGTCGCCGATCCTTTGGAAGCAAGAACGGCGAGAGTGGTGACAACGAGAGCAGCGAAGGAGGTAGTGAAAAGCATGTTTGAGATGGTGCTGGGTGTGCTGAGTGGCGAAGTGTTGAAGTACCGCTCTCCTGCTCGTCCCTTCCATCTTAAGTACTGTTTCTCGAGCTCATTGACGCTAGTGCCCAGCATGCTTCTAAACCTCTGGTGTCCTGCAAATAGCCCTCCACGTCATGCGGAGCAGCTTGTAGATGCGCCGTGGAGTGATTGCAGAGCCTAAAGTGGGGCATCGAACACAAGAGCGGTGAACTAAATCGCCTGCTACATCCGCTCAGGCAGAAATTGGACGCTCACGAAGCTAATTTTCGCGCAGTAGAATCGAATAGGACTGAGGAGGGCACTGCTCAATCGTCATTGTAACACTGCTGTTTGATGATTCTGTGGAGTATATCTTGGAGCGCTGTCTGAGTCGTTACAACGGAATCAGCATGTAGAAAGCTCTGGCAGATGCTCCATACCTTTCACTGCAGTGGTGCGGTAAGATCTCATACCGCTCGCGTCGTAGGGGACGGATATGGCAGGTCGCCATCACTGAACTCGCGGCGCTCGCATTTTCAAGCGGCGTATTTGGTAATCGTAGCGGAGCTCAAAATGTAGCATCAGCATATATCCGCTCCTATCGGAGACTGAAACCGCATTATGTAAACATATTTACACAGGTTTGATCCGTCGGCATGGCGGCCCCCTGAATGGCGAGTGTGAGGTGCGCACCAACAAAAATGAGTTTCGTGTGTTCTTCAAGGGCGCCAATATCCGGAGGGTTGTGGCCAGGGAAAGTGTGATGGGGTAGACAGGGATGGGCCTATAGGACTTCAAAGCAGTATATTCAAACAAAGAACGTAAAGACGTTCAAGCAGAGAATACATAATCGAGGATAACGGAGGCAGGGTGAAATCGTGGAGTTATGAGCCGTCTTTCAATCATCAGCGCGATACGGCTGCCTGTGGGTGATCAAACATGAGCACCCTGTTTTTATGCAATCAGATAGGCCAGAACTCACGATTTTCTGGTTGACCAATGGGGCGAAGGTCGAGAGTCTCCCGTTGCAGATGACGGGGGGCGGAGTAGGTCTCCCGGGCGAACCACGGACCATGACGAACAGGCGCTGGGAGCAGGGCGGGACCGTGAAGCGCCGAAGACGCTGGGGGGAGGTGTGCCTCCGGTGAACATGACGGGTGGCTCAAGAACGAGGACGGAGCCTCGGCCTGGACGCTGCGGGTGTCTGCTCAGATGCACCGCCTTCTGCGCAGATTGCTATCTCTCACTCGCCATCGCTGCACCAAGGCGGCGGCGGCGGCGAACGGAGTCGACGTATCCACAAGAGAATCCTTGGTCCGAGGAAGGAGGACGGCGTGGATGGCTTGACCAATGTGTAGTCGGACAGGCGCAGAGAGGGTAGAAGCGGGGTAGGGAGGTATCCAGGGCCGGATAGAATCAGGCCGTGCAGACCGATTTGGCATGCACACAGGAGGACAGCGGAGGACCTAGTACGGGGTCCACTGCGCGCCAGAGACGGGCATTGCGCCAGGGCTGACGCTCCCCGCCGAGTCCGGATCCTTCGAGCCCTTGCGCGCTGCGGGACGGCGGGGCTTGCGCGTCCCGACGGCCGAACGTGTACGCTGTGCCTTGTCCTGACCGCGCCGCCTGGGGTGGTCGGGGTAAACGCAGACCTCACCCGACGAGTGTTGGCAGCTGAGACACGCGGGTTTTGCACCGTCGCAGCGGAGCTTGCGGACACGGCTGCAAGGCAGACGCGCAAGTCAGCGGATGCAATAACGAAGATGAGATGGCATGAGTAAGCCGGAGGCCGACCGGCAAGTGACAACGAGAAGAGAAAAACAGGGAGGGCGCAGCGATGGCAACACGAGATGAAGCGAGGTGCTGAACGGAAGGAATGGCTCACCATCGGTTGCAGGCCACGTAGACTCGCTCGCGGGGCTTCCCGTCAACGGTCAGAGGCTGGCTGGGATCAAGGGCGATCTTGGGTTTGCTCCTCGAGCTGCCCCCGGTTTCGCTCTCGCCCGCGCTCGAGCCGTCGAAGTCGTTCAGGCCAAAGGCAAGGTCGTAGCCGGCGTCATACTGAGAAGAGTATGGCTGCGATCCGGTCGGGTGCTGGATCTGCTGGTAGGAGTGTTGCTGGTGTGCGCCCTGAGTGAAGTGCGCACCCGAGTGTGGGTACTGCGGGTACGCGTAGACGGGGGCGACCATGCTCGACAACGTCGAAGAGCCTTGCTGAAAAGAAGGCTGATAGCCGGAGGGATGACCAGATGGATACTGGCCGGGAGAGTACGAGGCAGAGTGCCGTGTCGCGGGAGGATAAGTGGTGGGAGGGAAGGTGCCTGGTGCATATGACCCCGGTGGGTAACCAGCGCCGGAATAGCCGCCAGAGAAGTACGGTTGAGTGCCGTCGGAGTAGCGCGGGTCAAGCCCCTGTTCTTGTCCAGAAAGCAATTCGTCGAGCCACGCAACCACGTCTGTATTGTTGGACAGCTGCTGGTCACCGTGGGGCCCAGGGGCGTACCCGTGGGGATGAGAGGGGTGGTCGGAGGGCATTGTTGGGGAGATGGGGCTGCTGTAGGTGTATGCGTATAGGTACGACCGCTTGGAAATGTGGTAGGTCGTGCGAGTGGCTGAAGTCGAGAGGGCGGCGGAGGGTGTGGAGCAAGGACGACATGGTGGTTGGATAAATAGGCTGCTTTTCGTGAGACAGCGCAGCGGACGCCCATCAAATTCGCCCGGACGGTCGTCCGGGGAGGATCGGGTGCTGCAATCTGGCATAAGCTTGATGGGCAGACAGTGTAGGCGGACAAATGAGAATGCTGTGAGGGCAGCCTGCTCGTGATCGCGGCAGAGTGTGGATCGCGTGGATTAGATCTGTGAAGGAGGGAAAGCCGTTTCAGCAAACCCTAACCTGGGGAACACTGCGCGAATAGCCCCCTTGCCATGCGAACTCATCGCAACTGCGGACCGGCTGGTGCTGTATAGGACTGGGTGATGCACAAGCACAAAAACGAATGCCTCGTTACGGATCGCAGCGCGTTCCGAGAGAAGGAGGGCAAGCCAATTTGGACATCCATGGGTCGTTGTCATTTGCGGTAGTTGTACATCGCGGCTCGTTGGATGTCTTGAGTAAGTTGTGGGACGCAGCTCGAAGCGCGACACGGGGCAATGTGCATTGTAGAAGGATCTTCGGCGGAAAACCCCAGAAGTCGGGTCAGATTGCCACTCATGTTGTGACTGAAAATGCCGAGATGGCTGGAAAGTGTTAGTGTTGCGAGAGAACATCAAGCGGTACAGCGCAGACATGCTGCTGCGAGGACGGTGATGGGGTACAGAGCTGCGAAGATGATGGCGCGAGGGATGCTCACTGTGTTATTTTCCGGTTCGTCCTAGCCGAAGTGGGAGTTCTGGCGCCGAGAAATTTGAATTGACCGGATCGCGACTGTCGAAAGGACTTTACGGTGCCGCGCACCAGCAATCTGGTGGACGAGCACGCCCGACACGTCACTGCGCCTGGCTGGGGTCATGGACGCGTCCGATTGACGGTCAGCGTGCATTGCTGGAGCCTTGAGGATGATAGTGCATTCTCTCCGAGGAATCCGGTCGGTCGTTGGGGGTGGGCAGGGAGGAAAAGACAGCGCCGTGGTTATTGCATCCATGCTTCCCGCAGGCGCGCAGTGATCGGCGCCCCGTCTTGGCGCTTGCATGATCCCCGAGGCACATGACTCAGCGATCGCACTGCCACGTGCTGCGCGCGCCTTGCCTTACAACCGCCAACACCGTCCTCCCCGCAGGCTCTGTCCCTGATACATTCACAGTGCGCAGGTATCGGGAATCTGTGGTAACCTGGCTCAAACGGTCAAATCCACGTCAGTGTACCGCAGCCCACCTGTGGGCACGAGCCCCCCCAATTTTCCGGGCTCGCGTCCGTATAGTACTTACGTACGGGCTAGTGACGACTCGACGCGTTCAAGTCTTCCGACATGTGCTGATTTTTCCTCTAGACGTACAACCCCGGTCGGTGTCTCGCTCGACGACTCACGATCATTATGAAGCTTCAACCTCAGCCTGCGCTATCATGTCACTTGCACATAGCGAGAGTCTCCATCCTGGAGCACGCGTATGTTCAGCCACAGTATATCTTCCGTCTGTTCCTCAAATGCATTAATTGGTGTTCTCCAACGATAGGGCCTGATCTTGGCGTTGTGAAATTATCGAATTGATCTCGTTCTCACCAGTTCTCACCGTGCTTTCGCATCCTCGAATTCAGCCCCGGTTCTGACTGCCCCTGACTACTATTCCGGCCGGACGGACAACAATCCGAGAAAGTCGGGGGTGATTGATTGATTGATCAGTGTGCTCCCCCCACAGAACGCAATTTCCGACGTCGGTTGCTTACTCATACTCATACAGAATGCGCCGTTTGAAGGTCTTGCTTACGCTGTCTGCCTGTCAGCAGACTTGACCCCGAGCCGGTCAAGCTGGAGTCGGTCCACCCGACCACCGTTGAATGCCGTGGGCGTCTGGGTGCTTTCTCCGACGCCGGACTTTCGAGGGGACGACGCACTGCATCACTCGCAGGGTCAAAGTGCTGCTCAGCGCTCAGCAGCCAAGTCCTCAGATTGACGTATCAAGGCAATTCACACACGCAACACACCCAGCCCATCTCACCACGCCGTTCGCCTGCTGCGGAGGGCCCAGTGTACACGCCATGGCACCGGCAGCTCCCTTCGCGCTGGTACGCAGGCTCCTCCCGCAGCGACTTGGCGCTGGCAGTGCTACCCGGGCACGCGCGATGCGACCGTCAGTGTCACGGTCGCCAAATATTGACGGCGCGCGGGCGCTTCGCGACGAATCGCGACGTCGACCTTGAGCGCTTGAGCGCTCAAGCTCGTCTGCCGTGGCTGTCGGCGTACGTCGCCCATCCTCTTCGCGACACCGGCACCCACTCACGCTGGAGCCACAGAATCACGCGCGTGGAGGTGCACACGGGCTATGCACGCCGTGCGGCGCGCGCTGTTGGCGCATGTGGATCCAGGCGTGTCACTCAAGCGCCCGCCGCTGCGATCTCGACATCGAGCCTCCCCCGGCCGCGGCGGTGCAGCACGGCCACGACCGCAATCATGCGCAGCGCTCGCTCGTGCCGAGCCTCTGGCACGACCCGCGAGTATCAGAGTACCGCATCGCGCCGTCGCGGATGGTGGTCGGGTGCCGGCGGAAGTCAAGTCGCGGACGTGATCCTCGTCCGCACGCCGACTGCGTGCGCAGCGGCATGTGGAGAGGTCGCAGTGACGGTCGCAGTCGCCGACCATGCGCTCTCCGACGGAGGTCAGCGGCGAGCGCGGGAGCGGGGAGCTGCCAGACGGACGGGTAATGCTGGTGCTGGCGCGCCGGCCTCAGTCGGTGCTCTGGCATACGCGAGGCCGATGCTGCGGATATTGTCGGTCGGGCTCCGAGCTCTGGGCTCGGGGGAGAGGTGGGGCTCGACCGACATGGCCCGGGGCCCCACACGAACCCGCGCGAATCGACGGTGCACACTTGGCATGATTACCCCATGGATGGTCCCCGTTTCTGTGCGAGTCGTGATTGGTCCCGTCCGACTGTGCGTGCGCAAGTGCCCTCCTCTGTGCTGGGAACTGTTGTATATTAGCTGGCCATGTGCGCTAGTGAGGGCGCGGTATGCGGTACGTAAACAGTCCATGACGGGACGGAACGAGTGGGGAGTGTGGGGAGTAACGAGTGCGAGCATGCTGCACTAGCGATGCGGGACAGGAGACCCACTCAAACCGTCCACGGGTACTTCTGCCCAAGGTTTATGAGGAAGTCGATCGGCTCCTCTCGGTACGTATCGTTCTTCAGCCTGAGCGTCGAGTTCCCCGAGAATTCGAGCAGCACCGGCGCGCTCACATTGTACTTGGGCCATGCCTGCGCGATGCCGGGCGTCCCGCTCGGGTCGAGCGTGTTCACGAAGTGGATGAAGAGGTCCTGGAGCTGGCTCCCAACGGCCTGGTACATGTCGGGGACTTCGGAGCCGTGCGTCTGCAACATGCGGCGGCGCGCGCGTCAGCCCACACTCAAGATCGAAGATGGGAAGCACCAAAGGCGTAGATGCGGGAGACACGACTGACCGATCCGAAGCCGGGGATTTTACGGCGCCTGTAAACTGCGACGGAGACGCACGACTGGTCAGCAACAGGTGAGAGCACACCAGGGCGATGGACGTACAGTAGGACCAGACGTTTTCCTTCTTGCTCATCTCACGCAAGAACAGCCGCCGGTTGGCGTCAACGTTCACGTCTCCCATCACCGACGCGAAGCGCTTGTGCATCTGCCCGTACTGGAAGTCGTCCCCGGTCCCATACGGCGCGCCCAGCGCCGGGTCGTTGGGGTACAGATCGAGCAGCTGTGGCCCTTGCGGTGCGCTCAGGTTGCCGAACCAAGAAGAGGCCAAGAGCGCTTGGATGAACTCTGCGTCGGAACTGCAAGCCCGCTTCAATAATTACGTTCTCAGCACCATTTCTCACATGTACTGACGTGATGTTAGGCGTGTTCAGTGCGAAAAGCGTGCCCTCGTCTTCGGCGTTCCCTGTGAAAATCGATTACATGAGCATATGAATGGTCAAACCCAGGGAGCCGAACCCACCAGCGACGACAGGGACGTTACGAGCACGCCCCTCGGTGAGCAGCTTCTGTGGGAGGTCCAGGAGGACCGAACCGTCCGCCCGCGGCGACCACGAAGCGTTGACGGCGGAGGTGTTGGTCACCGCCTCAAGTGGAGCGTGACGGATGCACGCAAGGGTATCCGTGGCGTTGCCGCAACCGACAGACGCGGAGTAAGTATCATACGCCGCCTGGGGGTTTGACCCGTCTATCCAGCCGACTGGTTGGATTGCGCCGGACTCGATCCAGAGTGCGCGGAACAGATTCTCGTCGTCATTGTAGACGGTGTGAAAGCCGGCCGAGAGGGCACCGGAGCTAAAGCCGAGTCTGTGAACGGCCCCATGGTTCAGTCAATGGCGCACCGGCGGGGAGTGAGGTTTGCTTACAAGGTGACTTTGGTAGGGTCGCCGCCAAAGTTCCGGACGTAGCGCTGTATCCAGCGAAGTGCGGTGCGTTCTGTGGACGATCGAACGACGTCAGTGACGAGTATCTCAGGTTCCCGGAAAGAGCGACTTACGATCTTGCAAACCGAGATTTCCAACCTTCGCATCGCGGACATCTTTTCCTCCCAGCCATCCAAGGGCTATAAGCGTGTTATCAGATAAAGTTCGTCGGAAGTGCGAGGACTCCGCAACGTACGGCCGAGCCTGGATGGTATAGTCAGCACTGACTGGGCAGAAACTCATGCAATTAGATTACCTATGATTCATGCTCACAAAAACAACCGGCTCATTCATCTCGACGGATCGCTTGACGATTTTTCGTCCATCGACACTATGGAACGGGCATGGGTTAAAATTTGTGGTGAGGATGGGGAGTGCCAAGCTTACCCCGTAGCTCCGCCGAAATCGAATGCGCCTGTGACGTTCGTGAGCAATCTGTGTGTTTGGTAACGCTGATCCCGACTCACCGAAGAAGATGTACTGGTGCCGGGAGCGCCACGCTCAAATCAATCCCCACAAACGAGGACAAGAGCAGCAACAAACGTACCGCGACAACAGGAAGGTTTGAGCCGGGCTTCGCAGACGCAGGGGCGATCACGTTAAGATTGAGGCCTTTCAGAAAAACTGTCAGTCGTCAGGGAAGAGGCACGGGAGCGCATCCACATACAATCCTCTGAGAACTGAACGCCCGAGGGCACGTCGAACTTATTGAAAAACGTAGCCTGCTCGGCAGTCAACCACGTCGGGGAAGCCGGGAGGTCAGCGGGGACGAAGCTGTAGCACCAGTTCCCGGACACGGTAGCGTTGATGGTCCCGTTGTACTCCGCGATGGGGACCGGGACGTTCAGTCGCAGATCTCCGATGCTGTCGAGTCAGTGTCAGCACGGCATGGGTGTCATCGCGGAAACTTCTCACGGGGGCTGAGCGTATGGGATCCCGAGGAAGGAGTTGGTGTCCTGGTCGCCGATCCCATGGACGGTGGCGAAGTCGAGGATCCGGGTCGACGCCGTGTCAGAGTCCGGAGAAGAAGAGGACGGTGCATGCTCGAAAACATGAGGAAAAGAGCGGACGAACTTGCTCCGAAGGATGTTCGAGGCGATAGCAGGCCCGGCGTGCACCACGCACAAGGCAATAAGGAGCGTGAGGGAAGCCGGGGGACGCATTATCCAGCAAAGGGCTGAGTAGGTTGGGGAGGCGGAGACTTCCCATATAAAGCCCAGCCGGAGAATGCCTTCGACCGAAATCAGTTGATATAAGACCTCCTGACTTCCGGTGTTTTCGTGAACGACGAACGACGTTCTTGCTCGCGTACATTTTTGGATGCGTCTGCGCCAACAGCGTCCGTCCGGAGATCCAGACGATGCGTCCATCCCCAAGCTCGGAGCCGATGCGGATGAGTGCCAGTGAAGGCTTCCGAGAATACGAGCGAGGTGGAGAGAAGGCATGCTCACGGCAGCGTGCACGCCGACGCTCCCAGAATACATTGGTGCCCGGGCATGCACGGGGCCGATGCCCCGCCATCCCAACACACATGTGTCGCGCCACAGTGTCGCCTGTAAAATTGGCGTGGTCACCACGATTCGGTTCGTTCAAACGTTCACACCTGGGTCGCTTTGCGATGGCGCTGCGACCTGTAACACATGTACCGAGCCCGCGAGAAGTCGCACTCCCTGAACGGACAGCGTCTTTGGAGATACGATCAGTTTGCCAAGTTGTGTCATGCAAAATTTCGTCCGCGTATGTCGCACTCACCGAGACCCGCCATAGCAGAAGCTACATGACGTTCCTCACACGCGGGACTACACAAACGCGAAAGAGCTTCTTGCCAGCGTAAATCGGACCAACTCCATGTACATGAATGATGGGGGATTGAAGGCGAGCTTGATGCCGGCATTTGGACGACAAATCCGCTCCCTGGTTGTAGCTTCGGACAAAGAATCTCGTACAGGTGGAGACAAGTAATCTGTTGATATTAGGAAGACTAAAATACATGATCGGGATCTGGGTACTAATACATACATCTTACTTCTTGAGTCACTGAAATCACTGGTTTGACGATAAGTAGAGGTTGGGGCCTCCTGCTTGTGCATCTCCGCATAGTGCCGAAGAAGACAGCATAAAGGGTGGAGTCGGGGCTCGGCCACAGCCTGAGTCACGATCCGTGCATGCCCCAGAATGCTGTGACCCGCATTCAACCACCATCGGGAAGCACACGAAGAACGGCATACTCACCGCGTAGTCCATCAGCGTCGCGCCCATGTCGCCCGACAAATCGCTCAACCCTGACTTTCCATTGGTCGACCTTCCACCAGCTAATGTGCGAGTCCTGTCCGAGATCGGAAGCCTGTCGAGGCACACGACCTGAACGCAGCGACGGGTTGATGTTCCACCTCGCCTTGACGTCCGCGATGTTGTCAGAGTTTGTCGTCGTCGAGGGATGAAGAGATAATCAAGGGGAGGGGTGTGTGTGTGTGCGACAGAGGGGGTCCGTTCTTCCGACACAGCCGGAGTATTACGTAAGCCGGCCTTGCACTCCGGGCGGCGTTGTTGAATATTAATGTCGTCTCTTATCTTCTGGAACTTCTGCACGGTATCGCACAACGAGTTTCTCGCCGCCCGTGTCTTTCGGCCAAGTTAGCATTTGTCTTCTTTCGGCGTAGGTCTCTCATCCATGGAACCGCTCGTCTCTGGAGCCGGAAAGCTAAACACTGGGTCTCAACATTTCAACTTTGTCAGCGCAACATCACATAGTATGTCTCGAACGACGAACAGCATCATTCCCCACAGCACTTACGCCTCTCTACGTTCCAGAGTACCGCCAGCACAAGATGCGTTCTCCCTGGATAGTTGCCTACTGCAACGGACCGGAGACCCACTTTCACCGGTCGGTCTTACAACAAGCTGTCAGTAGCGGGTCTCGTTCAGACAGCTCGCAGTTGGTGGTGCGTGAACATCAGGCACATTGTCTTCCGCAGCACTGATTCCTCCGTTCACGTGAGGACACACGAGTCAAGTACAAATCCTGTATCCGATCACCCCACCACCACCCTCATTCTCTCTCCTCGATCTGGCTCTCGTCAATCTATCGCCAGGGCAGGTGCGTCAGCTTCGTAGCAAGCCAATCCACTTCCTGATATCGCTCATAATAGAGACAATGCCCTTCCTGTCCCTCTCTATGGAGTTGTATGAACACATCCTTGCCTTCGTATGTGACAGATCCACCTTATGCGAGTGCGCTCTCGTCTGCCGCGCGTGGCTCCCTCCAATCCGCTTCAAACTCTTCCGGTACTTCAAAGCTCGGGTGAACATACCCTCGTACGATCTACTCCGGACGCAGCTGTTACGCTGCCCCTGCGAACGCCTAGGATTTCCCACATCCTCGACCGTTCATCTCACTTTCCAACAACCACTTCCCCTCATGCCGACATCGCTCCCACTGGCTTTTCTCCACGACTTTCCGACCGCGTCCCGAACGTGCAGTGTTAACTCTGTCCCAGTTGTGTTGGGCTGCGCGTCCACCACACCCCACCACTTACACTGTACTGTCTCGGTACCCGGCCGTGCGTACACTCTCCCTCCGCCATTGCACGCTCCCGGCCTTCCGTGCCCTCTTGACGATGATCCGATCCCTCCCATGCCTATCGGAGCTAGAGCTGACGCAATGCGCTTGGCCGGGCGTTTCATCCCCTCGCCTTGAAAAAACTTCTGTCTTCGGACCAGCTCGGCCAGCATTGACGCGCGTGTCCTTGGATGGCACATACCACGAACTAATTGGATGCACAGGCAGCTCTTCCATCATCTCGCGTTTACGCCTTCTAGGAGACTCTGCAATCGCTCCGCATTACATCCTCCATAGGCTACGAGGCGCCGTGGACATGTCCGATCTGCTTCTGCCATTCAACTTCGACTCGCTCTCGGAGCTGACGCTATCGCTCCCTGTTCGGGTGAAGGGCCAAAAGGTACGCATGATGCATATGTTTGCCTCGTTCCAGGAGGTCAGTATTCGCTTCAGGAGATCTCCTCTCGCGCTGCTCGTCTCTCACACGGCTGACAATGTACGCCACCACGGCAGAACCTTTCTGGGAGAACGCTACAGAGCTCCTTAAACATGCAGCTGCCATACACACCATCGTTTTCGCACTTGAAAAAGCCCCCATGATCACGGCGAACGGGATGCCTCTGTCGGATGAAGATGCTTTATCCTTTGGTCATGGGAGACGTGTGGTTGAGCTCGACAATTTACTCGGACAAAGCCTCCTTGGACTGATTCGGTCATCTTCCGCTTCGAGTTCCCCGGTCCCAAGACTGCGCCAGAGGTAGAAGCGCTGCATGTCAAGTTGAGAGAGCGCACGGAGACATGGTTCCCCCAGACGTACAATCGCGAGGTCGCAGAAGTGCAGGTTTACGTACATGGTTCCATGCTTCGTGTATAACGTACTTGCACATAATATACAATACTTATTCAGGCGGGCTCATAACTTCAGCGACCATGGACTGGCAGCCGGGCCTCCGGACCGGATTCCGGCGCTCGTTTCTAGCACGTGATCGTCTCTGAAAATTCATGCGATGCTGCTTGCAGACATTGACAGTCCGACCTTACGCCTTCCACCTCCTCCCATTCCCTTTCTCCCTCCTCGCGCAGTCTGGACCGTTCACGCGCGACAAATCCTACCGCGACGGCTGGTCTTGTGAATTATGCCCGACCCACGCCTTGTCGACTCGAAGTCGACCTTCACCTCCTTCAGCCATATACTCGATGCACGCATCCTCCGAGCCCTCGCGGACATGGGCTTCGCGCGACCGACACTAGTGCAGACAAAAGCCATTCCTCTTGCTCTTGAGAACCGCGACATACTAGCGAGGGCAAGAACAGGCAGTGGCAAACGGCGGCCTACTGCATACCGGTCGTGCAGAAGGTGCTCAATGCGAAACATGTGAGTCTTCTATACTGTTTTCCTCCGCCCCTATGTGTGCTTCTATTTCGTTTCTACTGCGCTTCGCGACTCATGCTACTGCGTCTCAGAGCCTCGCCGACGACGACATGAAGCGTCAAGCGACTCGTGCCCTCATCCTCGTGCCGACTCGCGAGCTCTCCGAGCAAGTCTCCGCGCACTTGCGCGGTCTAATCGTGTACTGCGAAGAAGACGTGGTCGTTGCCAACGCTCTACCGGAACATCGGCCATCTCCAGAAGTGAGTAAGTCGTTTCCATCTTCTGCTCGCCGAAGCGGATCTGACCTCACCCCAGAACACAGTTGTCTGACAACCCGGACATCGTCATCGCTACTCCGTCTCGCGTGCTTGCTTTGCTGCAATCAAAGGTGAGCCTTCTTTTCTCGTGCTATGTCAAGCCCATAACGCTTCACCCCAGACATTGTCTCTAGGCTCTTTGGAATCTCTCATCATCGATGAAGCCGACCTGATTCTGTCATACGGGCATGACGAAGACGTCCGACAGATCTTTGGTGGAGGGTTCCTGCCGAAGTGTTCCAATCGTTCCTCATGAGCGCAACGATGACAGAAGATGTCGAGGCGCTGAAGGGACTGGCTTTACGGAATCCTGTGAGTTCCCTCAAATTGTGATGCGCATAAACAACTGAATCTGCGAGAAAGGCGATTCTCAAGCTGGAGGAAGAGGAAGATGAGGCCGCTAACTTGACACAGTACTCCGTCCGGTGAGTGTACTGCCGCGTTCATCCACCACCCATCCTCATCTGCGCATACAAGTTGCTCTGAGGTCGACAAGTTCCTCCTCACCTACGTCATCCTCAAGCTCAAGCTCATCAAGGGCAAATGCATATTGTTCGTCAACGATGTCGATCGGTGCTACCGTCTGAAGCTGTTCCTGGAGCAATTCTCCATCAAGAGCTGTGTCCTCAACTCGGAGCTGCCTCTGAACTCAAGGTATGCTGGTTACACTGCGTCCTAAGAGCTCTGCTGACAGTCTTCAGATACCACGTAGTACAAGAGTTCAACAAGGGCGTTTACGACTACATTATCGCGTCAGATGAGAGTGCGGGCAAAGCTGAGCAAGACTCAGAATCTGAAGAGGAACAGGAAGCGGTGGATGACGAGTCTGATGATGACGAGTGTGAGTGTATCCGTCCATTTTACCCGTCTGCAAAGTTTCACGCTAGTCATCCAGTCATGGACACGCAACGCCAGCCCGAGCCTGCAGAACCCTCTACCAACGCCCATCCACCCCTCCACCCTCAAAACCCTCAAGCGCAAGTCGCGCGATGCCTCCCCTCCCCCTCCCCCTCCACTCAAACCAACCCCAGTCCCACAAACGCAAACGGCGGCGGAACGGCGCGCCCGACGCCGAGTACGGCGTCTCGCGCGGCGTCGACTTCGTCGACGTCTCCTGCGTCATCAACTTCGACTTCCCGACCTCCGCGCGCGCGTACACGCACCGCGTCGGGCGCACCGCCCGTGCGGGCCGCACCGGCATGGCGCTCTCCTTCGTCATCCCCGCGGCCGAGGTGGGCAAGAACCGGGCCGTGGGCGGGGTGCCGAGCACGCGGCGCGACGAGCGGGTGTTCGCGCGCGTCGCGCGCGAGCAGGGCGCGCGGGGGGCGAGCTCCGGGAGTACAAGTTCGACATGCGGCAGGTCGAGGCGTTCCGGTACCGGATGGAGGACGCGCTGCGGGCGGTGACGCGGAGCGCGATCAAGGAGGCGCGGATCAAGGAGCTCAAGACGGAGATCTGAACTCGGACAGCTGAAGGTGCGTCGTGCTCGCTTGTGTGAGGCGAAGGAGCTGAGGTTTGGTTGGGATGCGCACAGGCGCACTTTGAGGACAACCCGCTCGACCTGGAGTACCTGAGGCACGACAAGCCGCTCCATCCGACGCGCGTGCAGTCGCACATGAAGCACGTACCCAAGTACCTCCTCCCACGCATCGCGCCTGTCCCAGGTGTGAGCGCTGCCCCCGAATCCGATGCTGTGCCGACGAAGGAAGGCGACGTTGGTTTGTGCCGTTCAACAAGAATGGAGGGCGCGGGCGAGGACGAGGGAGGGGACGAGGGCGTGGAGGCGGGCGCGGCGGGCGCGGCGGGCGTGGAGGGAAGAAGAAGTCGGACCCGTTGAAGAAGTTCGGCTGATGTACGTCGTGACATTGTTCCTGTTTGCATTGAGATTTGCTGCTGCTGTAAACTTCCTGCACGATAGTACTAGGCGCCATTTTCACCACGTCTGACAATGTGGATCATGGAAGAACACCCCGTCCGCTGCCAACGAGAAGAATGCAGATCCCATGTACTACTCCACCAGAGCCCACAGCACATCGCCGTCAACCTGGCGTATGCACTGCAAGTTATCTAGTGCACCCTTGCGGTGCGTTGCGTCCACGAGGCTTTCGTAGGCTTTCTGCGGAATCGGATCGTCGGATCCAACAAAATGTTTGCCGCCGTTCGAGTCCTCCGGTGATTGCAGCGCTTCCAGGTCCTCCTGTCCTCTTCTCTTGAAACTTGTCCGCCGGCGAGGCTTGCCGTTCCGCACACACCTACACTCTGTATTAGCAGCGACGGAGGGATCAGCACGCCCCTGTGAGGCAAAGCTCACACTCGGTGTAAACTGGAGACCATGGGTGGGCGGAGGTGGTTCGCGGTAAGACGGGGACGACCGGGTCGTAGCGACCACTCAATCCAATGGGGATATCAATAGGTGAATGCCCACTTGGTCTCTCTTTTCATTCTGAATCTCATCACGCTTCGTACATGGAAGTGGGCAATGTAACATTAGGGAAGATACATGGCACTGACCGAACCCATCCATATCATAAGCGCCAAATTCCAATAGATGCCTCCAGCGAATCAGGAGTTTACGGAGTCCACCGAGCAGGCCTCAGACGATACTCGGGCGAATAACTAGACCGCGCGCTGCTCTGCGAATCAGAGGACGGCGAATCACGCCCTTGGTTCATGAGGGCGTCCCTGCCTTGGTCTTCTTGTTTCGTCACACGAGGGGACCGCTCTGGCACGTACCTCGCCTCGGCCGAACGACCTCGTTGCGTTCTAGGCGGGGTGGAGACACGAGAGCCTGAAGCCACGGGTTGAGGTGTCATCCCTCTCATTGCTTCGCCATACCGCCGACCGGGGGTGTGCCCGTGCACACCTCCGAGCGGAGCGCCGTCTGGCGTGTATGAACCAGGGTAATGGCGGTGCAGATGAGAAGGAGCAGGCGGCGGTGGCTGAGCGGGGGCAGGTGGGAAAGACGGAGCTGGTGGCATGGGTGTACTACTCTGGTGACCTTGAGGCGATCCCACCGCTGATGGAGCCCGCATGAACGCTGGAGCCATCGGACGTCGTCGTCGATCGTCGAGCGGTGTTTGGAAAGGCTGGGATGGTGTATGTGCCGTGTGTGAACTTCTATTTTCACGAGTGTCCGTCTGTCGAATGCGGGGAAACTCGCGGGTTCCCCAGTGTATCAGGTTCTGGGAACTGGCCATGAGTATGAAGTATATGGGCGATGTCATGAATTTGTGCCACTCACCTCCCTCGGTACGTCGCGAAGCCTTGCCGGTATGGTTTGTTTGGGACCTGAAGGTATCTTGCTATCACGCGGAGGTCGAGACATTGACAGAAAGACACTACCAGAGGTCAAATATCAGCATGCAGTGACATCATGCGCATGGTGAATCTGAGTGCGTTAAATACCTTGACAGTATGTATCACTTGCGAGATGCAGATACGGTAAAGGGAAGTAGTAAGCACACGCCGGAAACATGACGAGGAGCCTGAGTGTATATATATCCTCCCGCCGAGGATCTTGGGCCCCTCCATCTCATATACCACAAACGCAGTCCTACCAAATCAATACGCGGTCAGTGCTCATAAAAAGCATGCGTCATGAGTCATAGTCCTTTCGATCTGTTCAGTGTGTGGTAGGCAAACAGATGAGAGGAGAGACCGGATGTGGGGAACTCGACACACCAGTGAGGGCGCGCTTCTCATCACGTACGCGCGCGTCGAGTGATGACTCTGAACAGTTTCCTGATTTGTGCAAAATCTCTGTATCATTCCAAAGATATAATATCAGATCATACTTCTCTAAATGATAACGCAGACAGCACACCTTCGAACGGAGAAGCTGTCTTCATCCTTGTTGACGAGTTCGGAAGGCTGACGAGAAATCGGGCCAAGGAGCCTCTTCAAGCACAGACGACGTCATGTTATTGTTTCTGCCTGGCAGATGGAACTCAGTCCTCGAGGTCTCCTCCTCTCCTTGGCATCATTCCAGTGGTGTATGTGGCAAGCGGCGTTGGGGGAAAAAGCAAGGGATGTCAAGCGCCGAGCTCGAGACTATACTCACGCAGCCTTGTCAGGTTAGAACACCGGGGTCCATGAGCTTGGAAGGCCGGATGTATTGGAATGCAATGCTTGGTCAAGACAGACGAAACGACAGAGGCAATTCGATATATAGCATAAGTGCATAATATGAGCATGTGAGCAACGGTATTTTAGCGCTAGACATGTCAGAGAACGCCAGGAAAGACAAGAGATTGACTGGAGATAGGGATTCGAGCAGTAGACCCCGCCCACCAATGCGAGAACTATCGGGGGAGTTGGCCAGAGCTAGTCGAAGTCCATGTCGTCCGCAAGCTCATCTACGCCTTCGCTGTCATCACTCTCAGTGTGTCCCTCATCTTCATCCAGGATCGCCCATCGCGGAACGTGTCTGCCGACGCGGTACTCCCAGATCGAGCGTCGGTTGTCCTGGGATATGCGTCGTCTGGAACATCCGAGCTAGAGGATACTGTAGTGGGCCGAGAGTGTTGTGGGACTCCGAACATATCATGACCCACAGTCTTCGCCGGCTGTCGGGAGGAGTATGCGTCAGGTTTGGACGCAAATGTTGAATAAGGATGCCAGCGACGGGCTTCGTATAGGATCGGACGAGTGTTTGGCGGAGGGACCGTCCGGTCCCATCCCCACGGTGGAGGATAAACCGGACACGAATTTGTTCGTGGATGGTGCCATGGGCGGCGCAAGGTCGGGAGGATGGTGGGAGGTGCGGGGCAAGCTGGGTCTGCCATCTCGGAAATGGGAGGGAGCGTGATTGGCGGGGAAGTCACAATCGGGGCGGAAGGCGAGGGTGTCGGGGTGGGGGGAGGACGAGGAGGTTTACAAGACAATTCGGATGAGCGACGCCTAGGACGACGTCGTGAACGAGCGTTGGCTATCGCGGCCTTTCTCAACGAAAGTGATGTTGTGTGTCCTGAATTTCCCTGCTGGGGAGTGGGAAATAGATCCGGTTTATGAAGATGATCGGAATAGGAGAAAGGATGCTCGTTGTCTTCGGGACCTGGGTCCACGTATGGGATAGAACTTCTATGCGGGGTAACAGATTGAGAACCAAGGAACTTTTGAGGTTCCCGTGGTGGTATGAACGAGTCTCCCCAGTGGACGAAATACTGCATGGAGATCAGTTATGTTATGCGGTGATACAAGGCTAAGATGCGCACCTCCTGAGGCACACAGCTCAAGCTCTTCGGAAGCGGACGCCTCTTGTTGTTCGCGACGCTGCCATCCATAGTTCGTGCGAAGCAATAAGAACAGCGTCTCGAAGACGTGAGCAACTTGAGAGAGGCAAAGGAGGGCCGAAGGTCGGGAACGTCCTAGGGGGACGAGACATTGAGCTTGTGTCCCTCGGGCTATATGTATCTCTGTGAGCAAAGGTATTGCATGCCCCTCTAGCTTTGTCGTTTCGACTGCACGGGACAATGCTCGACAAGTTCAAGTGCTGTGGTCGCGGAGCTTGGGCCACCTGTCCAGCGGCACACGCTTGGGATGCAGTTCAAGCATGAGCCACTCGGTCTTTCGAGTGGCTGTGGCCCGTGGGCGGAAAGTGGACTATTCAGACATCCGAGCACATCAGTCGGAAACTCACAACGAATAAGGAAGGAGGCCGACGCACACGATAAGCAGAGTGGCGAACCCCACCCCAAGCTGAATCTCCTCATCGGAACCACTCCGAACGGCTTTATGACGAATGGAGTATGTGAAGTGCCGACACGCGCGTTCATTTTGTGCACCTACTACCATGATATCTAACTAACTTCGTCTCAAGTCAGCTTACAACACAACACGATACAACATTCTTCACCTTAGTCTGCGCCTCACGCACTACGCCCCCTCCATCTCCACGTCTGCACCCTCGTGCTGTCCCTCGCCCTCGCCCGTCTCAGACCGTGCCTTCTTCGCCTCAGGGCCCGCCTCCTCGCTCGCTCCGCACCCCTGTTGTGCTCGTTCCTTCTCCTGAATGCGTGCCAATAATGCACGCTTCTTCTTGAGCCGCCCGAGCTCACGCAGCGTGAGCCCTTCCTCGTCCACCGCAGCCGCTTCTGCAAGCCCATCACGGATGTGCGGGTCGTGTGCCGGATCGACGTTCTTCGGCAGTGCGGTGAGTGCCCCGTATAGGTCGAGGGCCTTAAGGTCGTCGTCGGAGGCGGGTACGCGGAGGGATGGGGAGGTCGCGAGGAGGGAGAGGGCAGGCGCGGAGTCCGGGTGCGGATGCGGGATTAGCTAAAGAAGGTAGGGGAAAGTGGTGAGGATGGTGACATGGTTTGTTGAAGGTGTGGAGTGCTTACGGTGGAACCGGACCAAGAAAGCAAGCGGACGGGAGAAGATGCTTCTGGTGAGGTAGCACTTGCCGCGTCTAATGAAACCCAGACCGTGCTTTCGTCTGGATCAATAGTGAAGTCTACTACAGAGGCCCCAAGGTCAACAGCATGGACAGGATGCGAGGTCTCGCCTTCAGGGAGGATAGTGTAGAATAAAGCAGTCGCGCTGAGTGAAAGTGAGTATGCATAGGGTGATAAACGAAACTTGCGACGTACCCGACCACACTGAAAAGAATATGACATCCATCCGAACCTCGGTTCACCGACTGGATCTTGTTGACGACAAACACGAGAACCGCCTCCGGGAACCCAACAGAAACGTCGACGTCCTCACCATCGGCAACATTGTCGGCCTTCTCCGTTTCCCCCTCGGCATCCACACTCCCCTCTTTCTCAGCCGCCGAGTGTTGCGCCTTGTCCTTGCCACGCCTTCTCCGCCTACCCTTCCCCTTCTTCTGAGGCTGACCTTCCTCTGCCTCATCTCCGCCTCCGCCGCCGCCATCATCTCCATCAGACCAGTCTCTCCTCCGCTTCGGGGCCTTCACCACGACGAACGGCTCTGCGACCTCTTGAACCGGCACATCTACAAAAAGTGCACCGGTCATCCAATCCCACACCTTCAGCACTGGATCCCCGCCACCAGATACAAGCACGTTCGGTTTCGACGGTGGTATGTGGAGGGCGTTGACGAACCTGACCCCACATATCAGCGGCGCTCCTCGATCTCAAGCGTAGACACAGACGCACTTTTTGTGGCCAAGGCAGTACCGCTCGACGGCGTACCCCTGCGGAAACCAGCTCACGCGGATGTGCTCGTCGCGGTCCGCGGTGATGATGTACCGCTCGTCAGGGGTGAGGACGAAGGTGGTGACGAGCGACGCGTGCCCGAGTATGAGCGTGCCGTTCGACGGGTTTTCGTGTGATGTCAGTGAGCCACGCTTCGACGCGCCGACTAAAGGAACATCCACGGTGGCGGAAGGGGGAGTGGGGTTCAGGGGATAGCTGAGCGGGAGAGGCAAACGGTGTGAGGGAGTGAGGTAGCGGGGTGGACGGGCGATGCGCACCTGAAGACGTCCCCGAACTTGTCGCTGACGACGATCGCGCCGTCGCGCGTGAAGAGGAGCGCGGTGGGCTTCTTCGGGAGTTCGCTGCAAGAAGTGGTGCGTCAGGTTGCGAGGGGGTGGGTAATGGGCGCGAGACACGCACCGTTCGCTGAGGAGCTCGAGGCGAGGCTCAGTGGTGTTGACCTTCCACACTTTGAGCTTTTTGTCGTCGCCCGTAGTCGCAATGTGAGTGAATGCATCGTCAAACGCTACGCAGCGAATCGACCCCGACTTGATGATGTTCGCGCAGGTGGCCTCATCGAGCGTGCGGGTAGAACACAAGAGCTCGCCTTGGCTCGAAATCACTAAGTTTTCATTTCGGGGACCGAATTATCGACGCCTACTTACCGAAGATCTACCGCATGAAAGTGTGCACCAGTTGTCACTAAAATCGCGCTTGGATGTCGGGCAAGATGGACGTAAGGGTAAGTGGACATGGTCATGTAGAGGGTAACTCTCCGGCACCATTCTCTTGCCGTAGGAGTTTGCACTTGCCTAGGTATGGTAAATGTGATACCACGCACAATTAGGCCTACGTTAATCTCTGTTAGTATATCGGTTAGTACACGCGCCTGTCATGTAAAATGCCCGTCAATACGCGCGAAAGCGGGGTTCGACTCCCCGACAGAGAGCATCCAACACAACAAATGTTTTGCCCGGATGATCTGGGCCTGACTCAGCCGGCTTGATACAACGATCCTATCGGCTTGATGCATTTTTTAGTAAAAAGCGTTCGTACCCAGGCTAGCACGCCGGCGCCAATTACTTGTTCAAAGTATGTATGGCAGTCATCGCAACAACACACTAGGTTCAAGCCTTGGACCATTATGTATTCATAGGGGCTTCAATCATACATACGGGCCCCGCGGGTGCCTCATGTGAACGTTTGAACGTTTGAACGGTGTGAAGCATTGTGAAAGCCAATTGCGCCGGCGCATCCGCGAAGGGCGCTATCTTATCAGATAAACAGTCGATACATGGCGCTATAGCCGCGCCCCGGCTTCACTGACAGTCGCCACCACGACGTCGAGACCCAGGAAAAACACATGAAGTGCGCCCTCTTGCCTTAATTTTTCCTTCCTGCTTATCATGAGCGGTTCTGTTCGCGATTCTCCACTTCATTCTATGCCAAACTACCTACGAAAAGCGCACCTCGCGCGGACGTCAGTGTTTCCATGATACTTATTCCACCTCTTAAAAAGTGTTGATCTCATATAGTCCTTCTTTCTCAGGTCAAGGTACACGTATCCGCACCAGAAAATGTACATCTGCCACCTCCTGGGAGTCGCTGCTTCCTCCTCTGCATCCCGCCGATGCATGATAACGCTTCAGTTACTGACAGAGCATTCACACACGCTGGATTGCTTTCGCAGCTGCATAAACCTCTGAGTGAGCACCTATGATCATGTGGATATTGAGACTATTGACGGGGTTAGCTGTGGGATTCGGACGAGAATCTCTCGAAGACGCATACATGGTGGTTCACCGCACGTCGTGGCGTAATCAAGGCAGGTCGTTGAGAGCACGGTGCAATCATAACTCGTCTCGCCATCCCGCCGCCTCACCTGAAGCACTGCTCTCTTGAACGCACTCCGGATTTTCGAAGTCTAGTCAAGTGCAAATACTCAGCCCGGGCTGCAATGTTGCGATCTGGTCTGGTCTGATCTTAGAAGGTACCAGAGGCCCCAGTGCCTCACTCCTGAGGAAACTCGATTCTCCCACAGATCATCGGTATTCTTTCTATCCTGCTCTGCGTCCTTATGCATCTGAGGTCGCGTCTAGGGAGCTGGCTATCAGGATCCCGGCCATACCTACCCGACATGAGCTGGGACCTGCTTCCCGGCTCACCATTGCGCGGCTGGCGCGATGGCGGCTGGTGCGATGCTTCCAGTCAGCCCAAGTCTTGAGGCTGACCCAGAACCGCGGTCGTCATCCTCCTCCGCCTGGCTTAAAACCCCTGCACATTCCTTGGACCCCCGCCAGCATTCTCTCCTTCGCTCTCCTTCGCTCTCCTCTGCTCTCCTCTCCTCCTGCTATTCCCAGATCTGCTCTGCCGCCATGTTTCACACACCCCTCGCTCTCCTCGCCCTCGCCCTGGCGGCCTCCGCGTCGCCCGTCTTGCAAGTGCGCGACAACCTCGTGCGCCTCCCGATGGCGAAGCGCGTCAACCTCACCGGCTCGGGGAGCTTGCTCGACCACGACCAGTTGCGCGCACAGTACCTGCGGGATCAGGCGAACGCGCTCCTTGATGGTGTGCCGCTCTCGATCTTGAGCGATGTGGCCGCGACGAACAAGGTCGTCGACTACGTCGTCAACGTGAGTCCCTTCCACCTTGTTTGTCGTGGAGGTGCGGCCCGCGGTCGTAGGCGTCGTGGGGCACGTCGGGAGGTGGCGCGATGGAGCCCGCGTGCTCGCCTGGGGAGGACGTCATGAGAGGACTGGTCGCGAGGTGGTGCCCGTGCGGCGTGCGGCGTGTACGCGAGACTGGTCGCGATTCGGGACAAGAGATTTCTTTGTGCTCATATGACAACTTCCTTCTAGGTCCGAGTGGGCAGTCCAGCCACCACCTGTGAGTCGCTCCTGGGTGTTCTCCTGCCGAGTGCACAGTAGCTAATCCTTTGGCATTAGACTCTCTTCTCGTCGACACCGGTAGCTCGAACACCTGGGTCGGCGCCGGCAAGGCGTACGTTCCCACTTCCAGTTCAATGAAGACGGGGGACCGGGTGGTCAGTATCGATGGCACTTGATGAGTTAAGAAAGGCGTTGACGACAGCGTTTTCAGTCTGTCACGTACGGCTCCGGCTCCTTCTCCGGCTCCGAGTTCATCGACGCTGTGTCGTTCGGGATCGACCTCACTATCCCCAAGCAGTCCATCGGTGTCGCCTCGAGCTCGACTGGCTTCGGCGGTGTCGACGGCATCATTGGGTATGTCTATTTCCATCCGCGTCTCGCTTGCACAGGTTCTGTGTTCAACACCGCCCTCTCTCACAATCACTTCCAATCCCCCTTCCCTTCGCATTGTAGCATCGGGCCGGTCGACCTCACCCTCAATACGCTCTCGCCACACTCTCGTAGCACAATCCCGACCGGTGAGAATCATCCCCAGTCCGATTGGGAGCACACTCTGACGCGAGACTACAGTGACGGACAACCTGTTCGCGCAGGGCACGATCTCCCAGAACCTTGTCGCCGTCTCCTTCGAGCCCACACAGCAGAGGACCAACACCAACGGCGAGCTCACCTTCGGGGGCATTGACCAGTCCAAGTTCACCGGCTCCATCACCTACGCGTGCGTCTCTCTCTTCTTCGGCTGGGACTGGGTTGACGTGCTGGGTTGATTGGGATCTGCGCGGCTGTTTGCCACTGCACTCGCCTCCGACTATCCCACGCGTTCGTGCTGTACAGCCCGTTGACGACGGTTTCGCCCGCGTCCAAGTTCTTCGGCATCAACCAGTCGATCCGCTACGGCACCTCGACCCCGATCCTGTCCAGCACCGCCGGGATCGTCGACACCGGCACCACGCTCACGCTCATCTCCACCGGTGCGCCTCCCGTCGAGTCTCGACTTTCTGTGCACTCACACGCGCGGCCGCGACCACGCGCACAGACGCGCTCACGCGGTACATGGCCGCGACGGGCGCCGTGAGCGACGCCAGGACGGGCCTGCTTCGCCTCACCAACGCGCAGTTCGCGAACCTGCAGTCCCTCTTCTTCAACATCAACGGCGTCCGTCTCCCCTCCCTCCCTTCGTATCGCTGCCCGTGCTGATCTTTGCGTTCTCGCATCGCAGGTCAACTTCGAGCTCACGCCCAACGCGCAGATCTGGCCCGTAAGTCTCCCTTGGAGTTACCCCCTCCCGTCGCGTCCACTGACGGCCACCCCCATGTCAGCGCGCACTCAACACCGCGATCGGCGGGGACAAGAAGAGCGTGTACCTGATCGTGAACTCGATCGGGACGTCGACGGGCAAGGGCCTCGACTTCATCAACGGGATGACGTTCCTCGAGCGCTTCTACTCTGTGTACGACACCACGAACAAGCGCGTCGGGTTCGCGACCACGCTGTTCACGAACTCGAACTCGAACTGAGGGTGCGACGAAGAAGGCCGGAGTGCCAGAACAGGGGATCAGGAGATGTGTATTTATTTCGAACCGTACTCTATTATAATTTCGGCGCTGGCGCCATAATGCTCCCCGTTGTTCGTCTCTACCGGCTACAGGTCGTCTCGTCCTTCGGGGACTGCGATCGCAGACATGCGTCCTGCAGCCGCGTCGTGCGCTTGAATGGGGGGACCTTCCGGTCGTCCGAGCCGCCGCAGCCGGAAGCCACGCGAGTTGGAGTAGGCGCCATCTTATCAGATAAGTCAGCAGCCAAGCTTCCCGCCTCGCCTCTTCGCCTCAGATTCGGGACTCACACTCTTCTTCCCAACTCCCACCGCCCACACGCACACGTTCTATACCCTCCCTCTCTCCCGTTTTCTCCTAGCCTTTTCGGATAACGATGTCTAACGACGCTGCCCCCACCGAAGCGGCCATGGCGCACATTGATGAGACCCCCTCGGCCGCGCCTGCTGAGGCTGCCGCTCCGGCTGCGTCAGAGACAAACGCTGCAGGTGCGTGGCGAACGTCTACGACGCGGTATCTTGCGATTCAACCCCACCCGTCTCTACGCGTATTGCTTCGACCCGAACCCTTCTCGCACTGCGGCCTCTGCTTCGTACTATAATGCACCCCCACCACAGACGCGAAGGAGAAGACGGACGCCGAGGAGCCCCAGAACTGGCTGACGCAGCAGTTCACCGACGCCGAGTGGGCCGCCGTCAAAGCCCTGCGCGTACGTCCCTTTCTTCCCCCTCTCTCCCTCGTCGCACCCAACCAACCTCACCCGCACGCCGCTCCCAGGCCGAGCTCCCCGCCATCCTCGCGCAGGCCTACCCCTCCGCCTCGCCCGCCCCCACCTCCATCACGCTCTGGGGCGTCACGCTCTCCTGCACGGCGCCCTCGGCCAAAGCCTCGGTCGTGCTCGCCAAGTTCGCGCGCGCGCGCGGCCTCGTCGTCGCCGACGCCGCCGCGATGCTCCTCGCGACGCTCAAGTGGCGCGCGGAGTTCGGGGTCGACGCGGTCGTGGGGGAGACGTTCGACGCGGACACGTTCGGGCGGCTCGGGCGCGTGTACGGGAAGGACAAGGAGGGCCGGCCGGTGACGTACAACCTGTACGGCGCGGTGCGGGACATGAAGGCCGTCTTCGGGGACGTGCAGAAGTTCATCAGGTGCGCGTCCGCCGCGGCGAGGGAGGCCAGGGGTGCCGAACGCTGACGGGGGGGATCGGCAGGTGGCGCGTGCAGTTCATGGAGGAGAGCATCAAGCTGCTCGACTTCGAGACCGTCGACCAGATGGTGCAGATCCACGGTGCGTCCCCTCCCCGCGTTTCGCTCGCCGCGCGCCGTTCTCCGCGCGCGTACTGACGCGCGAGACGGGACAGACTACAACGGGGTGAGCATCACGTCGCGCGACGCGTCGCAGAAGGCGGCCGCGAAGGAGGCCACCGCCGTCTTCCAGAACTACTACCCCGAGTTCCTCGTGCGTCCCTCCCTCCCTCTCGGACCCCTGTGGTCCTGCGCACGCACACACGCTGACTTGGGTGTACATACAGTCGCGCAAGTTCTTCGTCAGCGTGCCCGCGGTGCTCACTTGGATCTTCTGGCTCTTCAAGCCGCTCATCTCCGCGAACACGCTCGCGAAGATGACCGTCGTGGGGTCTGGGGCGAAGACGATTGGCGCGGAGCTCTCGCAGGTGATCGCCCTAGAGGAGCTCCCGAAGGAGTACGGTGGTACGGCGGCGGGCTGGGCGGAGACCGAGAAGGCGTGATAGCCCTCGCCACTCAGCTCTTTACATTGCTAGGACTTGCATCCACTGAGCACTTGCTATACCCACACCACTTATTCCGCAATAGCACACCATGGTTGCTTGCTTTCAGCCACGCTCACATTCACACCGGAGAAGTTTCAGGATGAGGGTAAGAAACAATTACTAATGAACAATATAAATACAACCCAACAGAGCTACAACGCGGCAGAGGTATCGCATGGAGAAGGGAACGAGAGCACGTTACGTGCGCTCGCCACGGAGTCGGCGGGCGAGTGAGAGGTCCTTGGGCTGGATCGTGACACGCTTTGCGTGGATGGCGGCGAGGTTGGTGTCCTCGAAGAGGGAGACGAGGTACGCCTCCGACGCCTCCTGGAGGGCCATGACGGCGGACGACTGGAAGCGGAGGTCGGTCTGTGCGCGGGCCGTCAGTAAGCGTGAAGCACAAAAGGAGATGAGTCGGCGAAGACGGCGCACCTTGAAGTCTTGCGCGATTTCGCGGACGAGACGTTGGAAGGGGAGCTTGCGGATGAGCAGCTCCGTCGACTTCTGGTACCGACGGATCTCACGGAGCGCGACGGTACCAGGCCGGAAGCGATGAGGCTTCTTCACGCCACCGGTCGCCGCCTATGAGAGTACTTTGTTGAGAACAAGGCGGTGTGAGCGATGAGCAGAAGACTTACAGCGGCGGTCTTGCGAGCCTGCGACTTTGCGGCGAGCTGCTTGCGGGGCGCCTTGCCACCGGTGGACTTGCGGGCGGTCTGCTTGGTGCGGGCCATTGATGATGTAGGTGGTAGTGGGTGGTGGCGGTGGGAGCACAAAGGCAAGAGGGCGGGATACAGATGGGTCCCAGAGCGCCCACCTGCGGTACTTATACCCAAGCACGTCCAGCGACACGCGCGGCATCACGTGGGCGCGCGACGCGTTGAACGCCGGTCAACAAAATAAGGTTCAGCACGTGCGCGCGTCGTGCCACACACGCGACGGGCGCGGGGATATATACCCCCGCCTTCTCTCCACCAAGGCCCCACTTCCTACCCCCCATCTCTCCTCCACACTTCTTACATTCCGTCGTTCGCCGACCAGTATCTCGACTTTACTTGTCTTTTACTCCCAACAACAACTCTCAACAACATGTCTGGCCGTGGAAAGGGTGGAAAGGGTCTCGGAAAGGGCGGTGCCAAGCGTCACCGCAAGATTCTTCGCGACAACATTCAGGGTAAGTCTCTTCTCACTTCCTCTCCAGCGTGGGCGGACGTGGGAGGGCCTCGCGCTCGGGAGATGTCGTAACCTGACAGCGGCGGCACCGGTGGATTGCCGGCGGCCGCGTTTGCTGCGCAGCGAAGGCGGGGAGTCGGGCATTGCGCTGACAAGTTCTCTGCTTTAGGTATCACGAAGCCCGCCATCCGCCGTCTTGCTCGCCGTGGTGGCGTGAAGCGTATCTCCGGTCTTATCTATGAGGAGACCCGTGGCGTGCTCAAGATCTTTCTTGAAAACGTGAGTCGTCTGGCCTGCTCGTCTTGGGGCGCTCTCTGACTGCGTTGCGCAGGTCATCCGCGACAGTGTCACGTACACTGAGCACGCGAAGCGGAAAACTGTGACGGCGCTGGACGTGGTATATGCGCTGAAGCGCTCCGGGCGCACGCTCTATGGGTTCGGCGCATAGGTGGTTCGGACTGTATGCGTCGGACGATTCTCGGTGTATGATTATGAGTAGTGTACAACAGAGCGCTGGATTCGGTCCACGACCGTGGTTGTCTGCCGTGAGCTGCTTGTCTCTTGCCCATCTCTTCAGTCACGTTCGCCGCCTTGAGGCCTGTGGGGACGTCGTGCGTATGTAAGTCGACGGTGATTCGTCTGGGATTCCCTCGTCGGGGCCGTGGCTTGCCCCAGTCGTCAAAGGCGTGCCTCCCGCCGGGAATACTCCGTCGAGGGCGCGGTCGTGCTCGCGGTTCGGATCCCCGCACCCCGTCCTCCCACTGCGCGCCCGCCGGCTGCCGTCGACCCAGACGGTGGAGGCGCGTTCGCAGCTGAGCGGACTGACTGCCGTATTAGACTCGTCTTCCTCGTCCCTGCCACCGCCTCCGCTCGGCCCTTTTCCTCCCCCTCCCCCTCCTCTGTCCCCACCAGTCCCCCTCCCCCACCGCGATGCCCATCCCAGACCTCCCAAACGAGACCCTCTGCGCCATCTTCGACCTCCTCCCGCCCCCCGCCCTCGCCTCCGTCGTCCGCGCCTCCCACCGCTTCCACCTCGTCGCAGAGCGCGTCCTCTACACATCGATCGCCATCGCCGACGCCCTCCCTCCACCCCCCGCGGTCCCCGTCCCATACAGGACCGCCATCTGCGCCGCGACCATCCTCGCCCGCCCCCACCTCGGCCCCGTCGTCCGCCGCCTCGCCGTCCGCTGGCTGCCCGACCCCGCCCTCCGCGACCGCGACGACGCCCTCGACGCCCTCCGCACCGCCGTCGCCCCCGCCCTCGTTGCCCTCAACCACGCCCTCCGCACCCTCCTCGCCCTCGAGCACCTCGACCTCGCCTTCGGCCTCGCAGGCGCGCTCTCCCTCGCCGCCGCCGCCCGCGCCCCGCTCGACGCCCGCGCGGTCCTCGACGGCTGCGCCTTCCCCGCCCTCCGCGCCTTCGCCCTCTCCGGCGTCGGCCGCGGCTCCCTCTCGCACAAGCTCTACGCCCCCGACCCGGACGACGCCGCGGCGGGCGCGGCGAGCATCGCCGCCTTCCTCGCGCGCGCCCCCGCGCTCGAAGAGCTGCACCTGCACGACTGCTACGAGGCCCTCGCGCTCCCGCCCGCCGCCGCGCCGCGCCTGCAGGCCTTCCGCGGGCCCGCGCTCGCCGCCGCGGGCGTGCTCCCCGGGCGGCCCGTGCGCGTGCTCGCGCTCGTCGGGCACGAGTTCGTCACCGCGCGCGACCTCGCCGGGCTCGCGCGCGCGAGCGTGCCCGTCCGCTGGCTCGACCTCGGCGCGATGGGCGTCACCCCGCTCCTCCTCCGCGACGTCTCCCGGCACCTGTCCGCCGTCGAGGTCCTCAAGGTCCGCCTCGCCCTCCGCCACACGCTCCACCACGCGCTCTCGGGCATCGTGAGTCCCTCCGCTCGCGCTCGCTCGCACGCGCCGGCTCACGTCCTCCTTTTTTTTTTCCCCTTCCCCTCCTCGCACGCACCGACGCGACGCAGAGCCTCCTCGCGGGCCTGACGCACGTCCTCGGCGCGTTCCCCGCGCTCGCGCAGCTCGACCTCTCCCCGACGGCCGTCGACGGCGTCGGGCGCGGGAACGCGCTCGAGGAGTCCGCGCTCTGCACGACCTGGGCGCGCGCGTGCCCCGCGCTCCGCGCCGTCGTCTTCCCGAGCCGCACCGAGTGGCGGCGGGCGGCGCCGGACGACGTCTGGGTCGCCGCCGCCGGGGGCGCGCCCGCGGTGTGGACGAGGTACTGAGCCCGTCTCGTCTCGTCTCGTCCCCCTGCGCTCCTCTATGCTGCGTGGATGTGTGCACGAGCCGCTCCGCTGTCGAGTCACCCCTCCCCCCGTCCCCCTCCCGTCTGCGCGCGGGGTGTGCGCTCGCTGACGCGCTATTTTTTTCCGCTTGCGCCCCCCGCGCTTTCCGCCACCGTCTCGCCCAGGAGCACGTCCCCGGCGGCTCGTGCCCGCGCCCGTCTGCTCGGTGAACCCCGCGCGACGAACGAACGCATGACCACCCAATGCGGCGCACGACCGCACACCGCTCCATGAGAAGACGGAGCCGGGAGCACGTACGGGTTCGGTTCGAGTGCGTCCGTCATCCCTCCTCCCCACGTCTCCGCGCCCCGCTCCGTGCGCGGTCTCAGTACTCAGTACTCAGTGCTCTCCAGTGCTCCCGCGGCCGTCCCCGTACGCACCTTCCCGGCCTCCGGCGGACCCCACGACGCGCACCCCGCACAGAGCTCGATATACATTCATGCATACATACAGTACATACGTGGGCCCACGCCCCACCGCCGTCCTCCCCACGCACCCCGCGCACCCGGATCCCGCACACAGTAATACATCCGCCGCACGAAAGCCCCACGCACATGTACATGGCACGCCACCCCTCCATCTGTACCATAACGCACCCGCTACGCTACCGCCATACAGTCAACGCACCGCGCTCTCACACGCCCCTCGCCCTCGCTCGCCCGTCCTGTTCAGCGCCGCGGACCGAGGACCCATGACGCACGATGCGCGACGTACATACAGTACTCAGAGTGCGCGGCTGCCGCCGTTCTCCCGCCCAAGCAGGTTGCTCCCACGCGCGCACACGGATCCCGCCGCGCCTCCCACCGTCGTCCTTCCTCCCACGGCGCGGGTCGGCTCTCCCCCCTGCGCTCGAGCCTCGTCGCGCACGCAGAACCGCTCGAGCTCAGGCTCAAGGTGCAGGCACAGGCACCTGCGTTTACGTGCCGTGCGCCCGGTTGCACAGTGCTTCGATCGCGCTCAGAAGCCGCAGCCGGGCGCAACGGCACCGAGCGCGGGGACTCGAGGTCCTGCTTCCCGTAGCGTTAATGCGATTGACGACACTTGAATCCCTGATGAATGCGCGGGACGCTCGCGAGCAAGATGAGTACTTGAGTCCGTACACGTGCCGCCGGAGCTCGTACCGACGCGCAGCGCGAGCGGGGCTCGGACCGGTGATGACGACGCGGACCATTCATTGCGCATGCGTTCCATCATGGGGGGTGAGTTGGAGACGGTTGCACATATGCATATGTAGCTAGACGGGGGTCGTGGTGCCGCGGGTGACGGCAGGCGGGGAAGCGCACGCATGTGAGGCAAATAAGTGAAGAAGGGGCCCGCTTGGGGTGCGGACGGGAGGGACGGGACGTAGAAAGACATGGGGGAGGGAGACAAGTGACAGGAGGGGGAGCGCAGAGGTGGGACAGACAGAACAGGCGGGCGAGCGACGTAGGCTGTTGCATGAGCGATACATTGGTGCACATATGCGGGTATCATCTTTCCTTGGGCGCGGTTCTCGTGCGTACATACAGCCGATGCATAAAAAGCGAGCCAGCGTCGGGCGAGGGATGGCGAGGGGCGAAAGGCGAAGGGCGAAAGGCGAAGGCGAAAGGCATAGAGGGAGAGCAGAGAAGACGAAGGCGATCCGCAGCGACGAGGCCTACTACTCCTCGGCCTCGTCGACGAAGATGTCGGTGTAGTGCTCCAGGATCGTCTCCACCGCCTGCGCCGCCCCGCCGCCCGTCAGCGGCGCGCGCGTGCATTCGGCACTGGACCGTAGACGCACCTTGTTCTGCAGCGACGTGTCCTGCAGGTTCAGCGAGTTGAACAGCGACGGGCCGATGACGATCGCGACGTTCTGCACCGTCATCGAGTTCAGCTCCGAGTGCTGCACCACTCTGTCGTCCGGAGGGGCCGCGCGCGTCGAGCCGAGGCGATCCAGGGGCGCACGGTGCGTGGGCGCGGACGGCCGGAAGATTGGCATCAGCGCGGGGGCGCGCGCGTGCGAGGAGAGAGCGGGCAAGTGCGTCAGCAGGGCAGGAGCACGATCGGGGCTGACGGGTCGCGGGAAGGCGCGGGGTGCGGGGCTGAATGGGGCGGGGACGGAGCGGGGGTGACGTACTTGTGCAGGTGGCCCATGAGGTACCGGAGCGTTGAATAGTTGGGATCCGGGAGCGCGTTGACGCGCTCGTGCAGGCGGATGTGCCGTGCTCGCTCGTTCTCGTTCCCTGGGGCGACACGAAAGCCTGAGCTCGAACCGGTCGGGGCACCGTGCGTGGGTCGGGTACTTACGTGCGGCGTCGATGAAGTCTTGGTACAGGGCCTGCGTGATCACCGGGTCCGGCAGTTCACGGAGCCAAGCCTTGAGTGCGCTCGTGACGTTGCTGATCTCCGACCGCCACTCGTCCGCGTCGAGATTGACCGCGTCGAGATCTACGCCGAGGCAGTGAGCGACACGACGGGCACCAGACGGGCGCGCGAGGACGCACCGCGGTCGAGGAGGTCCTTCAGCTTGTTGACCTTGAGGTGCGTGCCGGCGATCCGGTACAGGCCCTGCTGGTCGAGCCCGTACTTCTCGATCGCCTCGCACATCTTCTCCAGGATCGGCGGCACGTCGACGTCATCCCGCGCCATCTGCTCCGTGAGGTCGATCCCGAACGTCGGGCGCGCTTTCGGGAGGTGCGCCAGCGCCGGTCCCGGTGAGCTCGCCGCGACGTGCTGCTGGTGCTGCAGCGCGGCGATCGGGGGCAGCTGTCCGAGCCGCGGTATATGTCAGCGGTCGTCGCGAATCAGAGCAAGACGGCTCACGAAACCGTCCTCCTCGGGCCCGTTTCTGCGAGGCGCGCGCGAGTTCTGCCCGGCGTGCGCGTACACGTAGAGGTCCATCCACGTCCTGAAGTCGGCGCGGTTGTCGATCGACTCCATCGTCGCCTTCAGGCCGAGGCTGCGAGGGCCTCAATACGCGAGTTCGGGACACCGCGGAGCGGAGCACCTCGGTCTTCTGGTGGCTGGAGCGTGGTCGCTTCGTCGTGCACAATGCTCTCGGTGAGGAACGCGTATCGGGAGAGGTGGTACTGCGTGCCCAGGTCGATCTCGTCCACGCACTCCTTCAGAGACTGCGGCACCAGTCAGCACTCGTTCTCAAGCGAGGAACACACCACGCACTCGGAGGATCCGGGGCAGCTGGAAGTTGAAGTACTCCTGTCGGATCGCCTGGGTCTCAATCATCACCTTCCGGTACGTGTCCGACGCGGCAGACATCCGTGCCCGGACATCGTCCTCTTGGCGCTGCAGCTGGGTGCAACATCGACGTTAGGCTCGCTATACCCGCGCAGAGCACCATGCGCTCACATTCTGTGGGTTCTTGCCCTTCAACAGGAGACCGCCCTTCGCGACCGCTTTCCCGATCACACGCTTGCCGTTCACGGGCGACCGTGTTTGCATCGCGTTGTCCTTCAGCGACTCGCCCTCCTTCTGCAGGAGCAGACGCTCGAGCTCTTCCGCCGTCATCTCGACGCGCGCCTTGGCCTTCTCCGTCATGGTCTCCGACTCCTGCAGCGAACGCTCGTATCGCGTCGAGAGGTCCTTCGTCTGACCGTCGCGAACGCAGCCGGCGAGGCCGTGGGCGCGATGAGCTCCCGGACGCGCAAGAGAAGGCCGACAGACGCACCGCTTTCCGGTTCTTTTCCACCTCCTTCACGAGGTTCTGTAGCTCCTCGCTCATCTCGTTCAACCGTATCGCGAAGCTGCTCCGCTTTTCCGCCATGGTGTCGTGTATGCGCATCGACGCCTGCCAGGCCTCGACGAACGACCTGGGCCGACACAATCCGCGCCGTTGAGCTTCCCGCTCCCTGCTCCGGCAGAGCACGCACGACTCACCCGCCCTTGGCCTCTGAGGCGGCAGAGTAGTCTGCCGACGACGTGCGCGCGAGCTTTTGGAGCTGCTTGCTGTACTCGTCTTCCAGCGCCGCGCGTTTCTTGAGGAACACCGCCACCTCCTGCACGCCGAGTTGTCGTTTGGTCAGAACACCGTTTGAGAGCGGGGGTGAAACCACGACGGGAGAGCGCGGGGGTTTTGCCAGGACGACAATGAGCAACAGAAGTCTGCTCGGGCTGAAGGGATGTATGCCCAGGTGCATACAGCCCAATCAGGCCGGCCCCAACCGTTCGCTCTCTGTGAGGAGACCCGTTTCTCGACTGTTGTCCAGGCGACTCCCCTCTCCGCCCGTCGCGGATGTGGACGCGGACGCACCTTACACGATATCGTGCTCTGCTTGATCCGGTCCAGCAACAGCTGCACTCCACACTGCGCGCGTGGCAAGTTGCGTCCGGCATGTTCAGCGGGAGCGGGCCAGGCGTGTCGAGCGGGGTCGCACGGGCGAGGGGCGAGGGGGCGTCCGGTACGTGCGCAGCGTCGTCGAGGGGGGAGAGGCAGTCAGCGGTCGAGAGGCAGTCAGCGTCGGTCCTCGCGCGCGCTCTCGTGGCGCAAGAGAGACGGGGAAGACGGGGGAAGGGGGAAAGGAAACAAAGGAAGGGCCACTCACGTCCGTCTCGCACAGCGCCCGGAGCACATTCTCGTCGAAGCTCGGCTCGACGAGCGTCGCGACCTCCGCCGCGCTCGCCGTCTCCGCCTCCCGCAGGTCCCCCACGCTCCCGTGCCCGTGCCCGCTCGCGCTCGCGCCCTCGCTCTCCATGCTCGCCCGCGGCCGCCCCGCGCCCACGCCCGGGTAGCCGTGCCCGAGGTCGCTGTGCGCCCCGCTGCCGCCGCCGCCGCTCCCCGTCCGCGGCAGGTCCCCGCTCTCGCGCCGCGGCGACGGCGGCTTGGCCTTCGTCGGCGTCGGCGGCGCCGCGCCGTTCGCGTGCTGGTTGTGGTGCCCGTTGTGGTGCCGCGGCGTCGCGGTCGTCGGCGTCGGCGTCGCCAGCGTGGCCTCGAGCGACTCCGTCGAGGGCAGGTAGTGCTGCACGGTCGGCGGGACCCGCGCACGCGGGCCCGCGGAGCTGGGTGTGGGGGTGGGGGTGGTTCGCGCCGTCGCGGTGGCCGGCGTCGGAGCCGTTCTGGTCGCCGGGGTGGTCCGCCGGGGGCGGGGCGCGGGTAGCCGTCGTCGCTCATCGACATCGTCGGGCGGGTCGTCGGCCGTGCGTGGGTCGTGAAAGGGGGTCTGGAGGGGTAGTGGGAAGGCCGCCTAAGCGGGGCAGCCGAGAGGCGAGGGGGAGAGAGGACGTACCAGTGCGCGGCGCGCTCCCAAGGCGTTCCCAACAATGAGGTCGTCTCTGTAGCGTGCGCTGGGCGTGTGGTCGATGGAGAGGAGCGCAGAGCCAGGAAAAAGGAGCCGTCGGGCGGGTGGGGGGGACAAAGGCAAGCGAGGGGTGTCGTAGATCGGAGAGAGCGTATGTCGCCGCCCGCGGGCTGAGGGCATCGACCAGTGTTGCCAGCGCTCCGGGGGGAGAGGGAGATCGCTTACATAACTATCGCCCTAGTGCCCCGCAGCCATCGCATATCTCCCCGATCCCACTCGAGATCCGACGGATCACTGGCTGGCGAGCGTGCAACAACCAGATCTAAACCCGGAGCCGGTGGCTCAAACTGCTTTCGCCTGTGGACGACGAGGATACCGGTGCCCAGACTGCTGGACGCCAGTCGTTCCATGATAGCAACGCTGGAAGAGTGCGCAGCTCAAGCGTCCGGCCGCATAACTTGGGCCAAACTTGGGCGTGATCCCCTCCACATTTGATCTCATCACGTCCTGTCTACATCCCGGCGGCCGGCATCGTTCAAACTTCCGTAAGATCATGTATTCCAAGAGCACACGACACTAGAACAGGCGTACAAGCACTACACACCGCGACTTCTCAGCTCTACTAATACTGAACAAGTAATCCGTACAACTACGCAAGCGTACAAGAGACACAGTGGATGCAGTGCAAAGATGGCTGGACAGTCTGTACCGGAACGTAATAATGATACCAACAACGTCCGATCCGTCCCGCGCCACACGAGTGAGCACCGTCGGCGGTGCTCCCCGGTGCTGATGGACGGAGTACACAAAGCCCCGGTCCAAGGGCCAGGGAGCCCGCCCACTGTTGAACTGGACGGCGTCGGCACGCCGGTAGGAGGCGGTACAAAAGATATTTGGTCGAGTGCTTGACGTGGTCTTGCGGCATCGTGCACTAACAGTGACAGCGCATGATCCACCGGTAGCCATGGCCCTCCACGGCGCGCGAATGGAGTTGAAGGGAAAGGGGGCAAGGCGCCCGAAGAAAAAACGTAAAGCACTGCGGCCCTCGGGTTGCCGAACCAGCTCCAGCCCGACGCGGCTACGCCCAGCGTCCGAGGAGGGACATCAGGGCCGCTCCAAGGATCATGCACCCGAGCGCATACGCGAGCTTCGAGTTCGAGCCGTTGAGCATCTCCGTGTTGAACAGGAACTCATGTGCCATGAGCTACAGCGGGACGGAGAAAGGCACATCAGACCAGAGTTCGTAAGGCGCGGAGTCAAACTTGCAGACGTACCTCAACGAGACCTGTGTACAGTAGAATGCCACTGCTGAACGCGTCCAGAATGCCGCTCACGATGCTAGCCGTGGTGCTACCTGGGTTATACGTCTCGCGCACGCCGAGGCCGATCGCGAGGCCAATGGGCGTGGTGATGCCAAAGAGAATGGCGCCGAGCACAGGGACGAAGTTGTACTTGGGCGGTAGCTGGACGAACGCTAAGCGCGAGCCAACTCCAAGGCCTTCGAAGGTTTCTGCAAGATATGGGGATACACTTCAGTTTCCCGTCATAGATCCGAAGGAGAGAATGGGGATGCTATAAAGGAGAGACTTACGGTGGAAGATGATGACGATGAACAGCACCTTGAACTCCTCGGTCACCGCGAGAGTGAGGCCGATGAGGAGGCTGTGAAGCAGAACGCCAAACTCGAGGATAGCGATGCCGACGATCTGTGCCACCGCCGAGTCCCCGACGGCGTGCGGGTGGTGGTGGTGGTGAGAGTGCTTGTGAGCTTGCTCCACGTCGAGTGTGCACGGGGAAAGAGGTGTCCGTTCTGCTGTGCGTGCTCGTGCTCGTTCAAGCTCTCCGAGTCCTGGCTCTTCTCGCGTGGAGAAATGGCGATGTCCACGTGCAGGGCGGCTGGAGAAGAGCTGTTCCCGGCGATCCTCGCCTGGGTCGCCTGGTCGGTCTCCGGCCCGTGCGCGGCATGGGACACCAAGCCGTGTCCGTGCGCGTCATGGGCGAGGCCGAGTCGTGCAAGGCGGGCGGTGCCCCAGCGGAAGGCGACGAGCTCGACCATGAAGATGCTGAAGATGCTGACGAGGCAGATGGCCAGAGCGTACGGCTGGACAAAATATTTCAATCGAGGGTGTGATTGAACAAAGAGAAGATCACATACGTAGTCGCCCCAGGCAGCAGGAAGGCATTCAGAGTCCAGTTCTTCGATGGCAGGAGCAAGCAAATGAATGAGCGCAGTGGCAATCTGGCAGGTGAGGGGTCAAGATAGCGGCGAGGATGAGGTGGGATGGGCACTCACGATCACGCCGCTTCCGAAATACTTTGCGGTCTCAAAGACGGGTTGAGGGACGTGCTTGCTAAGCCACTTTGTGCGTCGAGCGAGGACGGGGAATAGGGCTCCGGCAAGGGAGGTGGCGAGGATGATAAAGATGGCCGCGATGCGCAAGCTGGTAAGTGACTGGTCGCCGCCGCCAGAGCCACATTGGACGTCGCCGTCGTCGCGGATGGCAAGGCGGGCGTGGTGGCGCATGGCGAGGGCTGGCGAGGGCGAGAAGAAGAATGAGGGTCGTAGAGCGAGTCTGCGGGTTTTATACGCGAACGAAGAGGCTTGGGGGAAGGCAAGCCAGGGAGGTGTCAGTGGTGGGCGCCGAGCTGCGTCGGGGAGGAGAAGGTAGTAGCTGAAGAGGGGACCGAGGAGGTACTCTGTCTGGTCCAGCCAATGGGCACGCGTCCGTTACGTCTCCTCCCCGCGAGTACCGTCCAGGTCGGCGCTTATTCTCTGAGGTCATCTCTGCGTCGAGCTGATCGAGTCCTCAGGTGGACTGCTTTGAGCTTCAACGTCGTTTGCTCAGTCGAGAACGTAGGGGACACTACCAACGTCGCCGGGCACCTCGAACCGGGCTCGACAACACTCCGGGCACTGTCATTGCGCTGTTTCTCGCCGAGCCCACTGCCCGACTGCTTCACGTTACGCCACACTTTGCTAGCCCCCGCGGCTCACGGACCGCCCTGGCCAAGGGCACGAACCAATCAGATCGCCCCTATCTCTCTCCCAACTTCGGTCCGTCTTCCCGGCCGCGCGGGATCGATGGGCTGAGCGGGCGGACGTCGAGCACCCGCGAAGCCCCGCACGCGCCCTCCTCGCCCTCTTCCACAATATGGCCGCCGACACCGTCCAGTTCATCAACTCTCTCTCCGCCGCCGTACCCCCCGCGGCAGCTCACTCCCACGGCGACGCCGCCCATTCCCACTCGCACGACGGCGCAAACGAGCACGGGCACACGCACGAGCAGCTCGACCATCCCGGTACGTACTACGTCCCCGCCTTCTCCGCACGGGCACGCGCTCACCGGCGCAGGCAAGTATGCGGAGCGCGACATGCCCAACTACACCTCCCGCAACTTCGAGGAGAGGGGCTTCACGGTCGGCATCGGCGGGTGCGTCCCTTGCCTCTCCATCCCTCTCAGTGCGGTGCTCAGACGCGACGCGCATGCGCGTGTATGCGTGCAGGCCGGTCGGGTCTGGCAAGACGGCCCTCACGCTCGCGCTCTGCCAGAAGCTACGTGCGGAATACAACATCGGTGCGTCCTCCGTTTCCGCCCCGACCCTCCGCCCTGCCTGCACCTCCGTCTCCGAGGCTCACCCCCGCCGCCCCCACAGCGACGGTGACGAACGACATCTTCACGCGCGAGGACCAAGAGTTTCTGATCAAGCACCGCGCCCTCCCCCCCGCCCGCATCCTCGCGATCGAGACCGGCGGGTGCCCGCACGCCGCGATCCGCGAGGACATCAGCGCGAACATGGGCGCGCTCGAGGCCCTCCAGGCGCGCTTCGCCTGCCAGCTGCTCTTCGTCGAGTCTGGCGGCGACAACCTCGCCGCCAACTACTCGCGCGAGCTCGCGGACTACATCGTCTACGTCATCGACGTCGCCGGGGGCGACAAGATCCCGCGCAAGGGCGGCCCCGGCATCTCCCAGTCCGACCTCCTCGTGATCAACAAGGTGCGTACGGGCTGGGGTGCGGGGCGTTGACTGAACGCGTTTGCGGCAGACGGACCTCGCGCCGCACGTCGGCGCGTCGCTCGAGGTCATGGACCGCGATGCGAAGCTCATGCGCGGGGACGGCCCGACGGTGTTCACCAGCGTTCGGGAGGGCAAGGGTGTCGATGACGTCACGGATCTCATTCTGGCCGCGTGGCGCACCGCGGGGAGCCCAGGTACCCCGGGGCCAGTGCCGGACGAGTAGACGCGTGAAGTAGAGGAATCCAAACTGTGTGTATATGTACATGTACGAATGGAGGCCCAGCCAAGAATTACAACGTTATGTAATAACCAACTCTCAGGCGGGGAGTTGAACGTTTAAACCTTGTTGAACGTTGAACCCCGCTCTTGCGGCACGCGTAAGCTACGAGCGCATACATTGACCGATACACAACAGAGAGTGTGAAAACGTGCGCCTTCGAACTTGCACTGCGGCCGTCGACGTAACATGTGGCATGGCCGCCAGGACAGCTACACTGTGCGCCCACAGGGAGGGGAAACTCACCCACAACGGAGGGGAGATATCCGATTCACTATCGAAAGCAGTGACAAGTTGGTGATTGGTGATCTCGGTGGTGATTTTCCCCACACCGTGGATCACCATACAAAGTGTGCATTTCCTCTTTATTTCAATCACCACATTCTTTCTGGTGAACCAGGAGAGCGCCTGCGGAACATCGCTGTACGCCGTGCGCTGTGCCGAACCTTAGGCGCTAGTGTTTACGTGGGCTCACCATAGAAACCGCTGCTCACCGCCGCACAGTGGGCAACGCCGTCGCGCACCACCGTTCTTCTCGACCACCACCCTTGCCATGCCCTTCCTCTGCTGCGCTCCCTAGCTTCGTCTTACGCCGCCTCGAGCTTGTGATCTACTCTCGCTTCCTTCTACCACCAACCCTCCAAATCCTCGGCCTTCCAAAGAACCCGCTTGTCCTAATGCCCACCCCCCGCGCTCACGATCATGTCCTTCGCCCGGCCCGTGTGCACGGTCCCCGACTTTCAATACTCCAAAGAGGATGCTATCTAGCTCCGGCAATACGAGCCAGAGGCGGCAGACTACTAGGGATCACCACAGGCGCGGGTGACCCGCACCGGTTGGCGGGTAAGGGTACCTAGTCCCTCGGGTACGTATGCAGGTGCGTGTCCATCCGTTGTCAGTATCCCGCGACGCGCGAGCTGGTGGCAGTTCATGGAACGGTCCCCCGAAACGACGCTGCCGCTTGTGTCGCAAGGACGTTAAGAAGCGTCGTCTTGCCTGCGCTGGACTCACCCATAAGCGCGGTCAGCCGCCCAGGGCGGACGTAGCCCGAGATGTCTTCGAGCAGCCAGTGCCGCCGCTGGTCTCGCCCTTGGCGATGGGGACGGTGTAGCGGAGGGGAGACGTCGTGCCAGGATCTCTGTCGCGTCCGAGCCGCTGGTGGTGACCGCGGGCGCGGTGGTGCGCGCGCCAGCCTTCAACTCCTCGTTCGCGGTCGCCTCCTCGGCGGCGGCGAAGGCGTCCGACTTTGGTCGTGCGGCGGGAGGGTAAGTCCTGGGTGACGGCGATTCGCGACGCGACCCCTCGCCCTGCTGGAGTGCGCCGGTCGACCTTCAGGGAGGTGCGTGTCGTGCCTAAGCCCGAGTATCGCGCCGTATTGCCATGGTACGTGTTAGCCTTTCATGCGCGATGTATTATTAGCCTCTTACCTTCTCTGTTTTGCCCAATAACACCGTTATCAGTGCATTGCCATATGCTCGTCATCCGAGCGCGGCCTCTCGACGGACCGACGACTTTCATCGCTGGGACTGGGAGAAGCTGTGCATGATCTTCCATGCGGTAGGTGTGCCACGCAGTTTATAATCTGTAGGGTACATTTTGATCAGTACTGTGTCCTTGCAGGCTCTTACGGTGAAACCCGTTCTGCGTTGCTACGAGAATAGCTGGGTCAGCGCCGCACTGGCCCACTCTCGAGAAAAACGAGGACGTCGTGATCAGGACGTCGTGATGTGAGCTGGAAGGGTGCGTTTCTTCGACTCCCCGGATGCCATGCGCCACGGTTGCGCGCACTGGATATGTGCTACGTTTGCGCTAGTATTGCATCGAGCTGTATAGACCGTCGTTCTCCGTGTCTGCACCTCTTTTGTGATTTAGCCGCTACCATAGCTATTTCTGATGTTCAATGGGTATAAATAACGCCTGTGTGATGTGAGAATTTCCAAGAAAACATGGATCTAAGAGCGACATAAGATGTTGATTCAAATTCATCAAAATCACCCACTTCAGCAGTGAAACCCCCCCAGAATCCGAACATCTCAGAAGTGGTGAAAGATGACACTCTAAGTGTCTATTTCCTTGTATTTAGGTCACCAGCTTCGTTGTTGAATCGAGCAAAATCTGGCTCAAAGTGAGCATGTAAATCACCTATCATTCGAGACATTACCCGCCATCAAACGGGTACCAAAGTTGGGTCTTTTGAGCGTTAACGCTAGGATTAAATACTCAGACGTGCATGGTGACTGTGTGGGTGAAATTCACCCACTCGAGGGCGCGCAGTGGCTCGTGCCATTGGATGTCCTTCTCAGCGCCCAACTCTACTTGAGGCGACCGCGGGGCGTGTGTCGAAGAGCGGGCGTCGTACAAGAAAAAGGCGCTCGAAAGCTTGGATGAACAACGTGTCGTTATATACAAGTTCACGACTCGCCAGCCTCATACATGCAGTACATACTAGGGATAACAACACACGGTTCGAATTCGGTACATACAGTCGTCGCGCGCATTTGAACTTCTCGTCCTCCGAAAATCCCTCCAAACCACCCCCTGCACGCGGAACTCGACCCTCAGGCCTCAGTTGGCGGTCGAGGTCGTGAACGGCGTGGTCGCGAACCCGACGCGCTTGTTCGCGGTGTCGAACACGGAGTAGAAGCGCTCGAGGAACGTCATCCCGTTGATGAAGTCGAGGCCCTCGCCCGTCGGCGTCCCGATCGAGTTCACGATCAGGTACACGCTGTTCGCGTTCCCGCCGATCGCGGTGTTGAGCGCGCGCTGGCATAGACCCAGGCGGTCAGTGACGAGACGGGCGGGAGGAGGCGATAGACTCACCGGCCAGATCTGCGCGTTGGGCGTGAGCTCGAAGTTGACCTGCGGCACGAGACGCGAATGTCAGCGGGGCAGCGACATTAAGGCAGGGAGGGGGACGGACGCCGTTGATGGTGAAGAAGAGGGACTGCAGGTTCGCGAACTGCGCGGTGGTGAGCCGCAGCAGGCCCGTCGCGTTGTCCTGCACCGCGCCCGTCGCGCGCGTGTACCGGGTCAGCGCGTCTGTGTCCGGGGACGCACGTGAGCACCAGGGCACAGCAGACGGGGCGCGGACGGCGCACCGGTGGAGATGAGCGTGAGCGTGGTGCCTGTGTCGACGATCCCGGCGGTGCTGGACAGGATCGAGGTCGAGGTGCCGTAGCGGATCGACTGGTTGATGCCGAAGAACTCGGACGCGGGCGACGTCGTCGTCAGCGGGCTGTCGTGGCGGGTTGTCGGCGCGGGTCCCCATCAACGTCAGCACGGCACCGCGGCCGAAGAGGGGAGGAG